GATAATGATCTTGGCCTATGCTTCAGTGCTGTGTGGCCACATGGCGCACAGGCAACATGCTGATGATTTCCTCTGAAGTGGCCTGACTGTTTGACTATAAACATCGTTTCCAAGCCCAACTGATTGACTGAGCGATGAATTTGGGGCAGTTAGTCGAAAGGAGAAAATAGTCCCGGTGTGTGCGGAAACGCAGCAGCCATCCAACAGTAAACCAATTATCTGAAGTGAAACAACAACAACGGGCGATGCAAAGTACCAGCCTGTCACAGATATGGCTCTGTACAAAGTCTGGAGCCCATTTGAAAGAATTGAGCGGTCATTGTATCAAGGATTTTTGGTTTTGATAAACTCACAACCTGGAATAAATCAAAACACGTTGGCAGGTCGTTCCTCCGGATGGTCACTTGAATTAAAATATTTCATTTGGCATTTCACTGATGCAATAAACAACTTCACATTTCTTACAACCGCAGCGGTAGCTTGTAATTTGCTGTCACCTTTAAAGATGGGTTAAATGAAAACAAGCAAACAAACCTAACAAAAACCTTTTTCAATGACCAAGACTGATCTATTCAAAGCTGCCAACTGTGTGTTCTTCAAACCTATTAGGACGTTGGTGAACATTTTGGGTTGCAAAAAATTTAAAAATATTTCAGCGTTGCAAAGCAAAAGTGTGATAGAATGAAAGCTCCAAAAGAAGTACGTGCATATTTTAAGGTATGGCATTTTTGGAGTGGGATGGGCAAGAATTTACCTCTTGGCACACATTGTTTTGTGTCTGTTTGAATAATAGACAAATTTACAGGCCAACCTAGCAAAAATCATTTTCTCTCCTAATACTAACCTTTGCTGGTGATTTTCATCAACCCATTGGTACTAAACAGTTCGTATAATGGTTGCCCTGATCTCCGGCTCTCTGATTGTTTGCTGAATCGTTTCTAATCTGTGAAGATTTCATCTGCAGTTGTACGACATCCATCTTTGAAATGTTCTGCATATGTCGGCCTGTGAGTGACAAAAAGAGCAAATTGAGTGCGATGACCTTGACTGTCTTTGTGAACTATTGAAAATAGGGTTGGCAAGCAGATCACTGACAAAATCTGTTGGGTTTCTTATGGAGAAAAAGGTAGCTGTCTGATGATGACAGATAAGCTCTTATCAAAGGTATGAAAAAGCATGATTTAGCAAATCCAAATTGCAGAGGAAAACATTTATCTGATATTGTCACTAATCCCCCCTCCCCGTGGGTGGTATCTGGGCACAAAGTCTTATTTGTGCTGCTGTGCAAATGTAAACTCACAAAATTGTTCTGTTCTACAGACTTTAACCCCGTAATCAAGAGCCACTCGTAAACTGGAAGGTCTGACCATGTCCCCTTTTAACCACCTTTCGATGGTCCTTTGTCTTTCTCGTGGCCGCACATTTCTCATTAGGGTGGCGGCATGCTGGAGCCTGTCACAGCTGGGCACACCTTGAACAGGTCGCCAGTGAGTCGCACCGATGGTTATTTATTGCATTGATTTACCTTTATGTTTTTCTTGAAGTGCATTGTGCACAGATTTACCGTATTTTCCGCACTATAAGGCGCTTCGGAGTATAAGGTGCACCTTCAACGAATGGCCTATTTTGAAAGTGGTTTCATCAATAGGGCGCATCGCATTATAAGGCACATAGAATAGAAGCTACAATGGTGGCCGCGTTATGCATCCACTATACGGAGCTATGCTAAAGGGAATACAATACAACACAATACAATTCAGCTTTATTTATATAGAGCTTACACAACCGCTCTAGCTGTTAACAAATCACTTTGCAGAACATACGGTCAAGAAATCAGAATATTGATCCATATATAATGCTTTTAGGTGCACCTTATGGTGCGGAAAATACGGTAATTAACTTGCATGCCATTGCCAGAGGTGGGAATCTACTCTGTTAAATTATGGTGCTGATTCCAATTGGAACTGTTCAGCCTTGACAGAGGTCTACTGTGAGTTACGTGTCACAATTGCTAACCTGTCTGTCGCTCTCCCAACTCCTAAATTGTTCAGTAAGGCAGATTTATAGCATAGGCATGTGTGCGTGTGAGAATGTGTGTGTGTGTGTGTGCGTGCTCTGACTGTTGCCTGTCCCCACAAAAATAACATTGTGTAACATAAAATTAAGATATTATCGCTCCATTTGCCAAAAATACATATAGTTTAGGATTATTTGGTCACTATGTGACCTCTAAAAATTCTGAAAATGCCCCAACCCCCAATCAGCTAAACAACATACGATCTGACAAGAATTACAATCCCGTGATGCTCAGCCAAGAATGACAATTGTGTGATAGAATTTGGACATCCCTAATTTTTCCTCAAAGTTTCTGAAAACTTGTGACATGGGCTAGTGACAGCCATTCGATCTGACAAGAATTACAATCCCGTGATGCTCAGCCAAGAATGACAATCGTGTGATAGAATCTGGACATTCCTAATTTTTCCTCAAAGTTTCTGAAAACGTGTGACATTTTGGTAGATTAGAAATATATTTCCAGCATTTTGTTCTGCTTAAGGTTAAGGATATGACATTTCTCACCAAAGGATGTCTGGATCTGATGCTCATAGTCAAAGATAAACATAACTGCAGGCCTGTACACGTGTCATTGAAGTTGTACTATTTGATGAGTGCCATTCTAATTTATTTTTGTAAACAAGTTTGTGAGTGAACTTTGTTAGAGTGCTTGATAAAGTCTGGTTATGAATGTGTATCTTGATCCTGCTGTTCGTCTCAGCTATGAAGCTAGAAATATGTTATTGAAGTCAAAATCGGGCTTGTTGTCTTTAGAAAACCTTATACATATTTGGAGGATCAAGGTTGTCTCCGCTGCTTGCTGCACTTGACAGTGAGTATCTCGGTGAAGAAAAGCACAATGGCGACTGCCGATATATCTGATGCGTGTGGTATGAAATTTACAAAATGCATTGATGAATAAATGTAATCTCTTTGTGCGAAACCCCAGTCGCCTAAACCGATCACCCTTTTGGTCCACTTTTTTTTGTTTGTTTGTCCCATTCTTACAGATTTATTCAGTTTCATGACGTATTATTTTGAAGCAGGTGGAAGCCAAATTGATACTGTGCAATGACAAAAATAGCACTCGTGAGGTGTGCTGAATTTATACGAACCACCCACTAAAGAATGTTTCCTTGCCTATAAAATATTCCATGCATAACTCTGCATAATTTAGATTAGCTGATTGGTCTTTCCATTCCTGGTACCGGTAAATGGTGTCTTTTAAATCTCAGTGGCTAATGCTTAATCCAAGATAACCCCTAGTACAGGAGTGTCAAACCCATTGTTGTCGCAGGCCACTTTGGAGTTACTTCTTCCCTCGGAGGGCTATTATGATAGTGAACCCAAAGAAATGTTTAATCGTCTCATCGTATTATTACTTGTACACAACAAATTGATGGATGACTAGTTTTGAAATCAGTCAACTAGAATAGTTTGTTCAGTTATTGCAAAATCTCAATGTTATTTAATACACATGACAATTTGACATTTCCAAAACAGATTTCGGCAAGAATCGTGGAAGTGAACAGACATGATTTGTTTTCGTGGGCCACATAAAATGATGTGGCGGGCCTGATCTGGCCCTCAGGCCTTGAGTTTGACACATACCCTAGTAAAACATTTACATACGCTTATTGGGCAAAGATGAAATGTTATTTTAATGTCGTGGTATTTTTTTTTTTCTAATTTGTGTCTTTCGATTGCCACATGTCACCCTGCAGAGTAGAGCTACAGTAAGATAAATTTCTCATGCATACTGAGTAGTAAGTCTTCACGCCACTCACAACATTCATGGTTACAATATAATAAAAGGTGCATTGTACAATATATCATTTGACGCAATACAGTATATTTTTCTGTAGCTTCATCTTCTTATTATAAGACAAATAATGAAATGGTTCATGGGTATTTCGACTCTTGCATTTCAACACTTTTTCCTCTGAGGGGTTTGGAAATGGGTCAACAAATGTAATCAATTTCCTTATCCGCAATGTGATAAGCAAATTACTGTGACACCAAATAAAGAACACATATAAAGAGATAAGGGTGTAAAATGTACGCACAAACATTCAGTTATTTTTAATGTCTTTGATCATTATGGTCATGAACGACAAGTTTTCTCTCATTCATTGATTTCTGAATATTAAAAAAAAGTGCATACTTTGGAGGCCATTCTGCCTTTCTGTGGCTGTTTTCAGGCATCTGTGTTGAATATAACAAAAGGATATTATATAAAATACAGGCTTGGTAAATAACAAACAACATTTGAAAAACTTACACGTTCAGTCCTCTGTGGCGTAGGAATGTTAAGACCTTGTTTTGATAGGCAGCTTATATATAATGCCACCTCCCTCCATTGTCTCTACCCTTCTTCATCGTACCGGTCCCCATTAACGAACCCTCTTCCTCTAATGGAGTTCACTGCACATCACTTTCTGCATGAAAACGCAGCAGAGGAGTGCAGCTAATGGCAGTTGCACAGTTGGAATACATGGGTGCTAACTTGAGTTAATGTATGCCGCTGGAGCACTGTTGGGAGATGAGATGGTGTTATCTGCCTTGTGCACAGGCCCAGCTCAGCTGTCTGAGGACATCCTTTATAAATGAACCAATTTGAGGTGGAACAGCTGTCTCTGAGTCTGCACTTCAGTCCTGACATCACGCTGACACCTAGGATGCTTGTATCTCATCTTTACATCATGAATAGCAACAGAACACATTTGTGGCTCGTCCTCCAGAGTTCTTTCAACATGTGTTTGACAAAGGATGTGTGTAGACTTGGTAGAAATTGGCATATGGTGCAATTCCCATTCAGTTTCGCTTCGTGGTACATATAAGACAGTGACAAGCGCCGTTTGAGAAAAAGAAAAATCTGAGTGTTCTCCTTCAAAATAGTCAATTACTTTGCCTGACATGGTCTATGTGTCTGATTGTGCCTTCAGGTGGGAAATCCATGTTTTCCCAGCAGCCACAGGACTTGGTCGTGGTGGCTGGCCAACCTGTGACATTACCATGTTCCATCCCTGGTTACCATGGTGTTGTCCTGTGGATCAAAGATGGCCTGGCGCTCGGGGTAGGGAGGGACCTCTCAGGTAAGGAACACATATTGGAAGCACATGAAGCCCTTTACTCTATCATTCTATTCATCTAGCTAGCTAGCTAGCTAGCTAGCTCTCTGGCTAGCTAGTTTGCTAGCTGTCTCTCTAGCTAGCTAGATGGTTCGTTCTCAGAAAGTATGGTCCAGTAGTGTGACATGAGATTCGAAAAGTGAACTTGATCAAAACCAGATTAAAATGACATAAGATTAAAATCAAACTTTCCTGCAGTGTGCTCTGAATAAATAAAGATAGTTCACACAGCCCATTGTTCGCAAGAGATGGTTGAATGGCGTCTACTTGTGTCATATCAAAGCACTTGAGCGCCAAGCACGAACCACTTTTTACCACATCGGCATTAATTACCAACTATTCAATACCGCCTTCTTGATTATTATTGACCAAAATCTGTCTGTTTGACAGAGAAGCTTCAAAATTATAACAAAATGCGAGTTGCAATATCATCATGTTTCCAATCAAAATTAATCTGTTTGCATTTATCATTCAATTTAGTCAACACATAGTGACTGCTTCACAGTTGATCATCAAGGCTTTACGCGTATTCAGCCTTGAGAACACTCATCACCAACAATTCGAGCAGTGACATAATGAATGAGAAAATCTATAAAAGCATTCAATACCCACATCATTTAACACAGTCTTTATTAATGTATTTCAACATAGAGATCGGATTAAATTTGCTCGCACTCTCACCACATCATGGTATGCTCCACCATGGTCTGTGTTGGAAGTTATGGTCGCTAATTTGGCTCGCACATCAAATATGACGACTAAGCATAGGCAATTCTGGCCCATTTTTTAGGGTGCTTCAGTACCCCTATAATTGGAATCCCAGCACCCATAAAATGTAAGAAATGTTTCACTTATTTTTACTGTATTTACTTTTGAAAAGTGCATTATCGAGCAGTTCTTGTTTGAAACAATAACAACATAAAAACAGCACCGCATTTTCCCCTAAAATGGTTTATTCCATCCGATCCCTCAAACCTCTCCCCTCTTGGGCTCTGATCAAGCTATCTGCACAAAGCTATATGCTGACACAGAGGGGATATTCAATGATGATCTCTTTTGTTGTGACTCAACATTTAAATAACCTTTATTGGATTTGATACTTTTGTCACAGACTTTCCAAAAAAAACATAGTTTCGATTTCAAATACATGCATTTAAATGTATAAGGAAGTTCAACTTCTTCTTGCCTGGGTGGGAGCTCTGCAACCTTGAATTTCTGATCCTCGAATCACCCGTTACTAAGTTACATGCTGCCAACATCCTGTCGACCATATCAACCAACACACTTTAGCGAGTACTTATAGTTAGTTGTTCTGGTGACCAAACAAACCAGCAAAGTCACCAAAAGAAGAAAATGAAGCAGTCTCCTTAAGATGTAGTCAAGATCGCATACATCAAGACGACGGGTTTGTTACACAGACATTTGTGGGTGGACATCAATGCCGGCCGGTCCTGATTTTCCTTCGAGTGCAAGGCTTTCTGGGAATATGTTTGCCAATTTGCCAATCTCCAGGATCTGAGTGCCGCTGATGGGCAGACAGCTGGTCTAATATGATTTTGATGACTTTGATCGGGGCCCAAGCAAACAGATAGCAAGCTTCACGGACGTGTGTGGTGGATGTGAGATATGTCATAAAATTGTGAACAGTGGACATTAAACCTGCTGAATCATTTTAGAAATCAATTAATTGAAGCATTGTTATTATTATTATAATTATTATAATAATAATAATCCATCCATCCATTTTCCGAAAGGCTTTATCCTCACAAGGGTGGCGGGGGGTACTGGAGCCTATCCCAGGTGTCTTCAGGCAGTATGCGGGGGACACCCTTAACTAGTCGCAACATTCAATGTTTTTTTTAATCATCTGAAACGTAACGTTTACATGTTGAGTCAATGTGAGGATACCAAAATGCTTCATTTTAACCTCCTCAATCAAGTCTATCAAATGGTCAATTAAATAGTCAAAAAGCAATGCCAAGACTCAATGGCTCTGGAAACTTCACAATCGCGGATCCAACCAAGCCATGGATAATCTTATTTACTCGTGAAATGGCAATTTGGATGGAAACAAATTAAATAAACAGTTGTATCTGAGTTACAGTAAGACAATCAATTCCCTATGCTTGTCCTTAACGGACTAAACGGTACTAAACAGCAGCGTTGCAGTCCCCCAGTCAGAGACACGCTGAGCACATGTTTTGATTGTGTGCAATAGAAAATTGATACAAAATACCATCAAAGCCAGAGATTTAGTGTGCACTTCTATCTTGCTTAGTGGAGACCAGCTTTTTCGCAAGATATTTAATTAGTTTATGGAATGAGACAGATTGAGGGTGAGAGTTAATAGTTACATCAGCCCTGAAATATATACCTCGTGATCGACGGTCCTGGGGCAAAAGAATAGTAATTTCAACATGGCTCATTCTTTTCATGTATCCAAAAGCAGCGTGATCGTTTTCTTATCGCCGCAATAAAATATACAAGGTCTTGTATCGGGTGAAATAGCTGCCTGCCTGGTGAAGATAGCTCCCCCAAAATACACTGTGATACAGACTGAGTGCCTTGTATTCAGGCAGATGACACTTCTCGAAATAAAGAGCACCCCAGCTGCCCTTTTTATCATTCCTGCCTACACAGACATTCAAGGCATTCTGTAGTTAAAAAAAAAAAAAGTGATGGTACATTCAATGCAGGATGTACAGAGTGAACAGAAAGCGACAGCTGTATACATAAAAAGTGTGCCAAATCAAATGTTGCGTGCAGCATTTCAATGATATACGTCTGCTTGGCTTTCCAGCGACAAAGGCTGCTTGTGAAATGGCGTGCGCCGTCTGGGACCAGCCGCCATTCATGGGTTAGGGTGATTAAAACGGGACAAACCGTCACAGTGCAGCACTCGAAATAAACAACACAAAAGCAAAACATAATTCAGAGTTACCTATATCCTTGTTGTCATTCTGGTGAAGCAGGAAGTGAAGTGGGCCCTCAGAAAATGCCAATCATTGTCATAAATATGCATGGCATAGCGCACATCTCCTTTGTATGATGATTGCGGCTTCAAAAAAAGCAACATCTAATTCATTCTTAGTTGCACACATGGTAAAAGGAGGAGAATTAAGTGTTTGTATGCCTGATGTGCAAGGCGGTGGCATAGGGTGTATGCAAGTCATAAACAGAAGCTCTTGGGATGAGAATGTGACAGTTGGTAAACATTCATCAGTGATTGAAAGTGCACGTGTGTGTGTGTGTGTGTGTGTGTGTGTGTGTGTGTGTGTGTGTGTGTGTGGTGGGCGCCGTTTTTTTTTTTTTTGTTTGTTTCCATTCATGCAAGCACTGCATGCACCAGTCACCCGAAACCTGTTCCTATCCCCTTGCGTTTACGTTGGGTGAAACACATTCTAGGTGAAAGATTTAACTCATTAGTCAATGCCTGTGTTTTTGCTTTCTCACACACACACACGCACACACGCACACACACACACACACACACACACACACACACACACACACACACACACACACACACACATTATTGATCTAGCCTCAAGACAAATCCATTCCTGGTAATGGTTTCATTACTCCTTAATGTGGGTATTTTACATTGTTTGGTTTGGGTACCGCATTATGACTCCGGAATTTCGCTGACTTCAAAGATCAACGTACCCGCGTGCAAAAACATCACGTGCATTATCATCCGTCATCTGGTGCGGCGGGACAATCCTAGTCATACTCACAATATTTATGATCATGTTGCCTATTTAGGACAAAGAAAAAAAAAGGGAAAAGGCAACTGTATAGGTTTCACCTCAAATTCTAATTAGTCTCCCTTATGGGGCCAGTTAGAGAGATTAACCTAGAATGCAGAAATGCTTGACTGCCACAGGCACAGATTAACCGATTGGCAAAATGACTGCGGAACATTCAAAATCACGCACAATCCGTCCTGTGAAACTGATCCACTTCCAACTTGCTTTCATTCCAAAACATGGCACCATTATAATCCGTTTAGATCAAAACCGTTTCAACACAAGTGCCAGCCTTGAACTACTCTCACCATCAAGACAATAATGATTTAAGCAACAGTTTAATCATTTTAAGCATCATATAAACAGAAGTTACCAACGACAATATTATTTCATGAAAAGCATCGCTTGAACTCCCGCAAGTATAAAATGAATCCAACCATGATGCCATGTCAATGTTAACAAAGAACAAAACACTCTACCTTTCAAGAATAAGTTATTAGCAGTCAACGAACACAGAAGTCTACATATTCACTTGGTGATTTTTCTTCAAAGATTACAAACAGATGGACTCAAACACCCAACCAGGGGCATCACTAGGATTTATGTATGTGGGGGCATCAACCCCCAGGTGCCCATCGGAAATTTCAGGGGATTCACAAATGACTGGTACATTTCGAGGCCTATCGAAGCCCGTCTACTAAGACGACTACATTCAGCGAATGACTGCCACCGTCCACTAGCCCTCACACCCTCTCCCAAGTTCGACGATTATGATCGGTGTATGGTGGCTGCTGTCCACCGTTTTTCAGCGATATGCTTTATTTCTCCTGAAACCATTTTTCCCTCAACTTCCACAGTTAGAATGAAATATAATTATTATCTTGACAGATAACATCAACATAAAAGTGCTTTCTCCTGGTGGAAAAAACATTCACTTTAGCCATTAAATGTATCTAAAATTAGGCTTACGGTACATCCCGTTGTATGTTCGACACTTCAATGAAAACCCTCTCTGATGTGGCACTTAACTGTATCAGGAATAGAAAGCTATTTCTCGTTGAGATGGTTGAGCCGCGAAAAGTTCATTTTATGTTGCCATTGAAGCAGATCAACATGTCCCTAAATCTTTGCTTTTGGAACGTATCAATGGGAACGATGTCTTTGACAAGATGCAGTTTGATTCTGAGAATGTGTGATACAAGGCTCCTTTCTTGTCGTACGGAATACTTCTGTTTCTTAGCGGGAGTTTTTGGGCTCCCTTCTGTGTTCTCCCAAGTTACGCACTGAGCAGTTTCAAGTGTCTGTCTCAAATGCTGAAATAATTCGGTTGTGCTACTTGCTTTGGTTATAACAGCCTTTGAACATACTTTGTAATGAACAGTTTCAAGTGTATTGTCTGACACTGCCAACGCAAACTCATTCCAAATGACAAACTGCGCCCTTGAGCAAATTAGCTCCTTTATATTTAACGTCCGAACATGGCTCACCTGTTTTCTTGGTTTCAGCCGTGATCGGTTGTCGCGCTAAGCCACTGGGCGTTTGTGATGGCATTCTCAGTCAAAGGAATGTGGCAAAATGGCCGTCCCACTGAGGTAGATAGAAATGTATGGATTTTGATCATTAATTAATTTTCCACAAATACGGTATTAATCAGAAAACTTTGTTCTGACTACTTGGGGCACATAGGACATTTTATCACTTGACTTCCCCTTTAAGTCCAAAAAGTTGAGGTATTTGAAGCATATTTACTTCCAAACTTTATGTCCGTTAAGGTGTTTGAGACATTCGGTGTGAATGCAGTTTGGTCATATAAACTATATTAGACAGAGAGAGAGAGAGAGAGAGAGAGAGAGAGAGAGAGAGAGAGAGAGAGAGAGAGAGTCTGCAAAGTGTTAGAATGTAGCACCTACACGTATATGCTCTCTAAGTGAACTGGAGTCAACTAAAGGTATATCATTGTGATTATGTCATGATGATCATTACCCTTGTGATCCACAATGTCATCATAGCCTTGAATCTCATCAATGGACATACAGTAAAAGTGAAACTCAATGATTTTCTGGATGACCTTCCGCACATAATGATGCGTCTGCTATTTCAGGCCCTTTCCTGCACACGCCAAAGGAATTTGTCTTTCCCTTGTCAATGATTATTCATATGACTAATTGGAGCCTTTAAATGTGATGGCTCTTAATTAAACTCCTTTACGTTTACAACTGGCTTTAATGTGACGCGGCTTTCTTTCTCAATGTAGGACACATTGTCAGAAATTATTACATTTAAAGATGGAAGTCATTATCACCTTCAGTCTCACATTCCCAACATTGCCGGTGCACTTTTTTTTCTTTTTTTTTTGTGCGTATTGCCTTGCTATGGCATGAGTTTCCATAGCTTTAATGCTGATGTGTTCCTTTGTCCTTGGCACTCCTAGTGTATGGACGCTTAAGATTAAAAGCTACACGTAGGAGGGTGAAATGCAGAGAGTGGCTTAATCGGCTATAACTCACTGCACCAGCATAAAATGAAACCACTTCATGCTCTATTAAAGACAACTGGATTCACTGAACCAACCATCAGTAATTGGACTTTGAACAGACGATGTCTTTCGCAATAGAACAATTCAAGGACTTGCTGCCAAGAGGTGTAAGAATTCCTGGGCTGGTTTTTGCACTGCAACAAAAAAAAATCCAGACTGCTAAAACTTTACAGTGAAGAACTGAGGTGTTTTGGCATTTTTGTTGAGTCATCGGGTAGCAGTTACTGAAAAGTCAACATTTACCACAACATCCGTCGGATTCATACACGTCCACCTTTTGGACATGAGAAACGTGTGAGTTTACTTTCAAGTTTCCCTCACATTGCACAAAATTCAATGACCGTATTTTCCGCACTATAAGGCGCTTCGGATTATAAGGCGCACCTTCAATGAATGGCATATTTTAAAACTGTGTTCATATATAGGGCGCTACAATAGTGGCTGAGGTTGCATTATGCATCCACAAGATGGATAAGGGGAATACAATACAATACAGCTTTTATTTATATTGTGCTTTCACAACCACTGCAGTTGTAACAAAGAGCTTTACAGAGCATTCAAAATGCTACGTCCAATAAATCAGAGTATTGATTCATAAATAAGGCACATCGGATTATAAAGCGCACTGTCGGATTTGAGAAAACTGAATGCTTGTAGGTGTGCCTTATCATGCGGAAAGTACGGTACTCATTTCTGATTTTGTGCAAAGATATTCCCTGCCTATGCTAGACATCATCCATTTTTGCATGTCTAACCAAGCAACATACTCACGGCGAATAAAATAGCACTTGCTGTAAATCAAAACTGGAGCAAAAGCGAAAGCAGGGATACACATTCTGTGGTTTGTGACTCTGTGAGCCAGGTGGCGTAGTGTTGAAGTTTAACCCCGTGGGATTTCAACGTTTATCATTTCTTTATCACTTGATCTTGTACGCATGTTTTGAGTTGTGTGGGCATCCAATGTTTTCACCTGTTCAGTAAATTCAAATGTGGCACTCACGCAGACTCTAATCTGATCTGATCTGATCCGATCCATCATAAAGTCATTCAGCCGTGCTTTCATCATTGATCTGACATTAAGACCACAAGGAGGGAGTTGTCTCTATTTTTCTGCAAGTTTTCATGATAGCGCGGAGTGTAGTTTTTTCATGAACAGCCCTGCTCTCCTTATTCCACAATTAGCATCATCATAAAAACAAACAGTGGATCGGAAGGAAAAGGAAATCGGTCTGAGGGGACAAGCAATTCCAGATGCAGTAAAAAGAGACGGCTTCCTTGTCAAACATCCTGGGATACACTCTGCTATCCACTTTGAATGCGCATCACAATGTTAGTTCAGGGGGTAACTCCGAAACCGGCGGTGTTGAATTGTGTAGAATGGGCACTATGTCTCATGGATATTCCCATGCTTTCCTGCATTATTGAACTGCAAATCATTGGACTGAGCAAGCGACTAGAGTGAAAGTCTTTGTGGTTGCAGTCAAGCATATTTTTCTTTTATAACCTCCAACCAAACTCGTTAACTTCACCAGCAGTGCTATAAAACCCTCAGAGGCATTTTTACTCAAGTATGAATTGAACAAACTCTATCATCTCCATTTGTGTGGCTGCCATAACAATTTCTTTTCAAACTCCCAAACTTGCTTGCCGACGAATTTACTGTTACTAAGAAAATCTTTGACCATTCAGTTGATTTAACGTGTGGTAAACATGAGCAAATATGTTTGTGCTGCAGGCTATCCCCGTTACACAGTGATTGGCGACCATGGCTCCGGGGAACATCATTTGCGAATCCAGCGTGTGGAGCTGATGGATGATGCCGTGTTTGAGTGTCAGGCTGTCCAAGCTGCCATGAGATCCCGTCCTGCCCGCCTCACTGTGCTCGGTGAGTCCGAATTAAGCACACAACATACTGTATGATACCATCCAAGATCTTGAGCCTTCAACAGCTTTGTTGTTGAATAACAACCTACAGTTTCAGTGAAATTCCTTTAGCAAGACTATGCAGGGGGAAAAATAGCTCCCGAATTCCCTCAACGTTGTACATGGGCCAATGAAGTAGCTTTACATTTCGGTGAGGATATATGCAAAGGAAGAGAGACATGAAATATACTCAGGGCATTGAATCGATCACAGCTTGACTGTTCTGGTTGTCTTCGAAGATGTTTCACCTGTCACCCAAGCAGGCTTCATCTGTTTATGCACGTAGACTAGATAGGACAGCTCTCACCTATCTAGCCGACATGCGTGAACTGATAAAGCCCGCTGGTCTGAGGCAAAACATCTTCAAAGGCAACCAGAACAGTCCGATTGTTTCATTGCCCTGAGAATGAAATGGCCTGGATGAACGAGAATACTCACAGGCTGACGGAAACATAACAGCACCACTCGGCTGTCCTGCGCCCTCAGTGCGCATAGAAGTAGTCTGCTAACAAATGCACATTATAAGAGAAGAGCTGTCTTCCTAAATGATACGATTCCATTTTGATCATTCTGAGAAAAAAAAAATCCCTAGAACTGCAAATTATATCCTGTTAAATCTTGCACTGGACAAAAATAAACTTTGGATATAATCACCAGCATTGCCGAAATACAGTTCTGTGTTTTGCGTCTTTAAAAAAAATGAACAATGTCAATCAGTTCATTTATCTGTTTTATCTTCACTTTTGCTTGGCCACTAGTTGCATTTGATACTGTAAAATTCTGAGGGAATCGTTATTTCTTTGAGCAAGAATCCAACCATTTTTTAGTGATTTGATCTGCGGTACTCTGGGTCAGCTTAATGATGAGGAAACTAATCTTCAACTGATTTTCCATGCTGCTAATCAGCTCAACGTTTCTGGTCTCTCGGTTGGTTTATCAGGCCTTTGCTGAATTTTACTGCTCCCCACCTCGGAGGATAGGCCTTTGCTGTGATGTTATTTTGGAGTCAGTAAGCAGAAAGTTAAAGAAAACAAGGAAAGAGTTGGGAGCGTGGCGACTGATCCACCTTATTGATCTGGCCTAATGAAAAGCAAACCTAACGATTTGTAGGGAAAAGGACTGCAGCGGAAACAAGGAGGTAAAGAAAAATTGAAGCAAATTAAACAGAGAGGGAAAGACAAATTGAAGCGTTGTGTCTTATTGGCCATCCTGCAGATGGATATCAGTGAAAAATTATTGGTACTTCCATGCAGAGCTGAAAAGGTCTAAAATTTTAGGATTCACCCTCTTTTTCTTGCAATTTGGAGAGATTTTTATTGGGTGAAGTGGGAAGAAGAGTGGCTGAAAATTTGAGTAGCCATGAATCCGTGAAAAAAACAACAACAAAAAACTGTGAGCAGATCAGCATCTAACATTAATGGATAACAGTGTTAAGTGTTAAGGTACCGTGAAATGGGCAAAGTAGCTAGCTAATATTGACCTTTAACCTTCATTCTGTATTTCATTGCGCAACATCCATCCAAAGTCCACTGTGTGGACTCCAGTCCACTCTGGACTGTGATGATCTCGGACACTGATATTTATGAACACAGGGTTGGACTTTTCCCCATCCAAAACAATGAAGTAAATATTGTGTTTTCATGTTTTATTGAGGGCGTCTTCCAAAGACACACAGCAGTGCTGGTCTTGGCTGATGCACAAAATCAATCTAAGAGTATGTTGCGAACCCTAACATGCATTAGCTCATCAAAAATTGTGATTTCGATTGATTAGTTATTATTCTTTACATTCTAAAAGTGCGAATGAAATACAAGATTAAAATTGAGGATTTTTGTGACTTTCCTGCAAAAGCATTCAAGTAAAATGCATTGCTCTCCATGACTGCTTTAAGTTCCACAGTGTTTCACAAAAGCAACTTGTTTTGGACAGCATTACTATTTATGATGGCAACAATACAGCAATGTGCAGTTTTGAGTTACTCTTGTGCGAGGACACCCATAGATGTTTGTCACATACAGCACATGGAATGCTTTGATATTGAAGGAATTTGCACTACACTGATGTATTTCACTGATGTATATTGATATACGTTACAGTTGCTATGGATACCTTTTGATTTTTTTTTTTTTTTTTTTAATCTACAGAGCTAGGTCAGCAACAATGTGACCATGGCTTTGTGACAAAACATTGAATTGATAGCTTGTCATTGCAAGAGTGATTGTGTGCTTTGTATTTGTTTTCCTCCAGCGGCATTGTTAATATGTTGGACTTGTGTAGCACTAAATATTCATGTCAACAAATGCCCAAGGGTATCTTTTGTTGTTGTTGGTTTATATCGAATCATTAATTTTAGCATACAAACCTGAAAACACGATTGGTCTCGTTTCAGATTTCCATTCTGCGCCAATTGACGGGGGAAAAAACGAATACAAATGAACTACCATTTTCGTGCGTTCCCTATTTGTGTTCGAACGAACGAACGAGTAACAATGAACTGTAGTTGGTGACTTTTTGTACTTTTCATGAAAAACGCTATGCATGCTCCACATAGCGAAATTTGATAAAAATAAATAAATAATTACATGGTAAATGGAGTGTACAAACTGGCAGCCCTGTGGTCCAGTGGTTATCGCATTGGCCTCACAGTGCAGAGGTACCAGGTACAATTCCAGCTCCGGCCTCCCTGTGTGGAGTTTGCATGTTCTCCCCGGACCTGCGTGGGTTTTCTCCGGGTATTCCGGTTTCCTCCCACATTCCACAAACATGCATGACAGGCTGATTTAACACTCTATATTGTCCCTAGGTGTGAGTGTGAGCGTGGATGGCTGTTTGTCTCTGTGTGCCCTGCGATTGGCTGGCAACCGGTTCAGGTTCAAAACATTACATGGCCCACACAATATGGTCCCTGTTCTTTCCCAACAAATGAATCCTCGTATTATGTGCATTTGTGTATCTGTGCGCATACCTGAGGAGCTTCTGGTTCTCAGACAGATGTCGAGTGACAGCACTGACAGAAGAGTTTGGCCCAGTGAGTTATGCATGTTCCTGCAACAACCTGCACTATTGGTATTCCCTCTTCTCCTCATCGTTTTGACTGCTTTCTTTCCTGATCTATCCCAAACTCAGCAAGCTGTCGCAGTCGGTGACAGACGGCCCCATGCCTACTTTCTTCTGCACAAGCCAGACAACACATGCGGCTCATTGTTGTTCAGGACACGTCAGCTAAAGCACAGCAGCTACACATTACATATCTTCTCTCTGCCCTCCTTGTTCATTTCCAACTCCAAATAGTTTCTTTCTCAATCGCTCACACCCTGGGAATGCCGAGGGGTGAATCCCCTAAATGGCCTCCATACTTCTTTGCAGAGGTCTCTCCCAAATTGAGTGTAGCCCAGCAGGTCCAACATCGGCAAAGCAATTGTTACCTGGCCGAAGGTTGGAGTCAATCCCTGTCCTAGATGAGGTAAAATTAGCCTACCGTCATATACTGTATACTCTTTTTATTTTTCAAAGGCATTTTACATTAGATCTTAACCATGGTTAAATAGCCTATTATTAAGGTGACAGGGGCGGTGCTGGAGGGAACGCCCAGCACGCCCGCCGCAAACTGAAATCAAAACAAACCGGAACATGACATTCCCAAAGAGGACCAATAGGAATGTGTCCAAAACAGGATAAAAAGCTGGACTTTTGAAATCAGTCGCTTTTAAGACAAGCCAAGATTTGAGTAGAGAGCACTGCACTTCCAGTCGGCACACATATTTTGAACCTCAGATTCTCACTGGTTCCGTTGCACTGCTTAACGGACTGACGTTATTGATCACACCAACGGGTTCATGAATGAGTCCCACATCAAACACTCGACCAAACCACTCCAGTAAAACAAACTATGGCTAATCATAACAAAACGTTGTCGTGCAGGTGTTTTTGAATGCTACAATTTACTGGTCATTGACGCACACTGCTGAACAAACGCACAATCCTGCGCACCCATTATTCTCAGAGTACAAGTACAGCATATGCAACTAAAAATTCGCAGGAGTGCGGACAGTAAGTCCGCACTCTTGCGAACTTTGCACCGATGAGAGGAAAAAAAGCAGCGAGTGGGGCCAGGTTTGCAGTGAGTCAGACCTGTAATTAAAAAGCAGCGATCAATCTGTCCCACTGACCACACTACTTATGCCAAGACTATCGAATAGCTGCAGCAAAGAGCTAATTTAGAACCATTAGGGACTGCAGACTTTGCAAACAGCACAGTAATGATGATGGCTGATTCAAGTTCAGGGCTTGCACTCTGTATAACTGTCAGACCCGCCCGGTCGTAATAAGGTGGACTGAGTGAATGATTTTAGATGAAAAGAAATAACCAAATTCAATGAGTTTCACGTCTTTCTTTTATGATATGTTATGGGTCCGCTTCCCCCTCGCTCCCTCCTCTCAGGCACTCACAATGAAAATGATATGAAAATCTCTGCATGTGAGGCCCAAGTGCTCTTTGGGCAGTATGCAGTCATCCCAAATGATCAGTACGGTAGTAAAATGGGACTCGGTAGAGACTGCTCGACAATCCGACAGTCTTAATTTGCATATCCACCCAAATTGCTCACCTTATTCAGTAGACAGTCTAGTGCCTGAATGTCGTCATTCATATTTCTTCAAGGGTAGCAGATCTGTAAACAGTCTTTAAGTGGTTACCTTACCTTGCCCAAGTTTTCTTGGATTTTTTTTTCCATCATCCTGCTAATGTAATGAAAGCAATTAACGAATACAGTGATGGAACATTATGCATGAAATCGGTACACTTAGGCTTATTTTTCTTTGTCGAGGGGGTCAAAAACTGCATCTTTTTTTCCCCTTTTCTTCTAAGAGGCTTTTAAGAGTTTTGCTATGTGTTCAGTTATGTGATGGTGATTATACTTTCCAATCGGTCACATATTGTCAGATTATCCTCTCATCTCCATCATGCCATAAAACGCTTTTATGGCTGCCTTCTATGCTTGACATTTTACTAACGTGTGCTTTGACAGCGGCGCTGCATTTTACAATCAACCGCAGCCATTTTTTTTTCCTTCTTCCGCTGAATTTTGGTGCCAATTGATTCCTTCAATGACAAATGTTAGGCTCGTCTCTGCATTGCGATGCTTGTCACACACTCCCTGGCTTATTTACATATTCCACGCAACAGAACAGTACCATGAGAGCTTTGTGACCTCGTTTTTTTCCACTTGGTGCGAAAGGACAAAAAGTGTGAGCCTTCATACAAACCTCCCCTCCATTTGACGAGAATAGTACTGACCTGAGAATACTCATGCTCTCCAAACTCTCTTGCATATTAATAATGAGCAGCGGATGAAAGGAAGACGGACAAACGAAGACTGCATTTTAAACCGAAAGACAGAATGGCAACCAGTGTGGGAATTGTCCTTGATTGGAAGTCCAGCCAAAATGAATTCATTGTCTGGTTCAATACTTTCCCATCGCACTACATCCAAATATCTCTGTGCAATATAGGTCAACCAAATTTCAATTTGTCATTTCAAATTGATTGTATTTGTAATGTCATTGCTTTGACGTGACAACCCAGCCGCTGGGGAGCAGTGCCCTCCCCTGTGGGTACACTGTTCCCCGGTGCCGGTCCCAAGCCCGGAGAAATGGGGAGGGTTGCGTCAGGAAGGGCATCCGGCGTAAAACTTTTGCCAAGACGGACGTGCGAGTTGATAGGGCGGTTTGCAGGAACGGTTGGGAATTAATGACTCGCTGTGGCGACCCCTGAAAAGGGACGTGCCGAAAGGAGAAGAAGAAGAAGAAGAATTGCTTTGACGTGACACTTGAGAGACAAAAGGTACGTCGTCACCAAGAGAAGAAACAGGCTACACCATGTCTGTGTATGGCAGGCTTGAATGCAGCACTCCTCTTGCAAAGTTTTTCAATGACCAACTAATTCATCAGTCATCCAAAAGGAAAAACAAGTTACTTGAATGTGGGCATTCATAAATTTTGCCCTTACAATCGAAGCAGCGCAAGGTATGGTTGCAACTGAAAATGGAAACTTCAGCGTGTGGTATTTAAACATTTTTACGATCCACCACCCACCATCAAACACATTATATTGCCGGGGGATGTATACCTAAACTATACGATGAATTAGACCGCACAATAAAACAAGGAGTCGGGTGGATGGCTTCCTAGTAGTTCGAGCTTTTATTTATTTTTATTTTTTTGTGTGTGTGTGTGTGGGGGGGGGGGTATATTTCACCAAAACATAAAGAAATATGTAAAAATCAATTAGAAAAGTAAATGCTAATTTTAAATATTCAGGGTTTTTTTTGTTTTTTGTTTTCTTTCACTATCTCTGAATATGTTTACTTTTTTGCGATTCTCTCGTGATCGTCATGATACAATTGCAGTTTGCATTGTTTTTTGCCCTTAGTTACAAACCCATACATATTTAAAAACAGAAAAAAAAGTAAGACACACCAACTTTTGATTAATCGACTGTTAATTTCACGAAGGTCAGTAAAACACCCGCTGCTAGCACAAAGTGACAGAAAATTGCATTTCTGAGCAACCTATACTGCATTAAAAACTTACTCAAATGTGCAAGGAGAGATCAATAAAGGATAGGCAATTTCAACAGTAATCCTTAGGGTAATCCTTCGGAGCAATTATCGTAAAAATGGTTTGCAACAAACAAATAAAATTATATGATGCCGGTGGCCCCGGATGCCACAATTAATTCAAAAGCGACAGGGATAAGAACAAAATAGATCAATAAAGTATGGTATGCACAGCTTTTACAGCACATCACATATTCCTTCATGCAAGCTGTCAAAGAGCCCAATTATACGTATTGTCATTAAATGTGCAAAACACTGTCCCAAATTACATTTCCTTTATTTGCATTCATCTCCGGTGCAGTCTGACAGCATAAATCTAACGCATAACAAGCCTTCCTTCCAATCATGGCACTTGTGTAGAGAGATTCGACAGCTGCCTGCAGCCTTTGATTTCATCGCGCCCCAGATCTGCATTGTAATGAGCATTCGGGTCAATCAATAATTCACTGCAGTTTGAGTTAGATGAAAAAAAAAAAAAAAAAAAAAAGCAGCTCATGGGTAAACGACGAACGGGACTTTGATCAATGGTATGTAGGCATATTATATATATTTGGCAAAGCTCGGGAAGTAAAACACATGCATAGCTGTGTGTCAGAGAATGGTTTGAGAATTACAATTAATGTTGATATTTCTGCTTGGATTGTATGGACACATATATGGGCAGATCTATTCAAAGGACAGAGAGTTGATCATCGAAGCCGGGATCTCGCGTGATCTGCCAAGCTTCTTAAGCCTCAACTTGCATCTGTATGAAATTATTTGATGGTAATTGAATCCCGTTTTTTTGGGATGACAAAGATATAATTCATCGATGGACACTTTAGGCCAGGAGTGTCAAACTCATTCTGAAGTCATAGCAGCTATTTGTGATGTGATCAAAGGTGTTGTCAATTTACCTTAAAAAAAAAGTTGACATCTTCATGTCTTTCCTTCGTTTTGGTACAAAGAAGCATTGGCGCATTGACACCGTCTGCTCTGTTGGGTCTCAGTGACAGACTGAAAATGCAGTTTTCTTCTCTGATCAAAATACTGTAATTTTTTTTCTTCTGCTCTGATCAAAACAGTGTGCCCCTTAGCAGATAATGCATAAATTGCATTTTATTAAAAATATTAATTCCATGTCTTTAGTGCATTTTTTTAACTTTTAAATTACCCTGTGGGCCTGATCAAACCTCCTTGTGGGCCGGTTCTGGCCCGCAGGCCGTATATAAATCATTACAATGTTATTTTGGATAATAATTAAACCTTGACAATAACATTGATGTTCAGTTATCATTGACAAAATGTAACAAGTGGTATTTTGGGAGCAAATTCTGAAGTCATAGCAGCTATTTGTGATGTGATCAAATGTGTTGTCATTTTACCTTAAAAAAAAGTTGACGTCTTTAAGTTTTTGGCCCAAAAAAATGTGACGACTGCATATTCTAGTCCTAATTTACAAGCTATCGTCACATGGTGATCTTATGGCTCTTCCTCTCAATGTCTGCATCCATAGTCCCACCCGAAGACCCCATCATCAGCGGAGGGCCAGTGGTGAGCCTGAGAGCCGGCGACCCGCTCAATCTGACCTGCCATGCTGATAACGCCAAGCCAGCAGCCTCCATCATCTGGATCCGCAACGGAGAGGTCCTCAATGGGGCCATGCACTCCAAGGTAAGCTTCGAGGTGTGTGTCACATAGCAGGTTAGGAGACTCTGGGGGGAGGAATGGAAAATGGGGCTTGTGCTGAGAAGTCTGCTTTCAGGAGAATTTAGTCAAATTTCAATTCACTGAGCACTTCAAAACAACCACAGCTGCATACAAAGTGCTGTACATAAAGTAACACATATAAAGACAAAGACTATTTCGATAAATGGACGGCCCATTGGTCCAGTGGTTAGCGCGTCGACCTCACAGTGCAGAGGTCGTGGGTTTGATCCCGGCCTTCCTGTGTGGAGTTTGTATGTTCTCCCTCTGTATGCGTGGGTTTTCTCCGGGTACTCCGGTTTCCTCCCACATTCCAAAAACATGCATGGCAGGCTGATTGAACACTCTCAATTGTCCCTAGGTGTGAGTGTGAGCATGGATGGTTGTTCGTCTCTGCGTGCCCTGCGATTGGCTGGCAACCTGTTCAGGGTGTCCCCCACCTACTACCCGAAGATAGCTCGGATTGGCCATTGCAGTACCGTATGACGATATTGATATTGATGAATTAATAGTTTTCATTTCAGTTTTGCTTGTCAAAGATGTTGTGACAGCATTTCTTGGAGTTTGTCATGACGGGTGTTTGAAGAAGCACACAGAAAGTACAGTTTTACCAAATTGCTTAACGTGGGTATATTCCTTACAAAATATCCGTGCGAGCACAACTTTGCATACAATGATTTCCTTTTTGGACAGGATCCGGACCAAAAACACCTGTTGATTGCCGTCTTTGCATTTGCTGTAAATCATTACTGCGAAGGTGCCACACATGCAGAGTTGTTGGTGGCCTTTTGCCTCACGATCCAGATGGCTTCTTGAAAGCAATTCCCTTGAAAACACAGGTTGAAGTTTTGATAACAAAAACACGTTTTTTTTGTTGTTGTTTTTTTGGTCCATCATACAAATCAACTGAGACAAGCAGATGGCAAGATCATGGAACTATCAGTGACGCTTCCCTTCTGTTATGATGTTCTTCTTCAGTTGCGCTTGTCTTCGTTTTTACCAACCTGTTTCCAAAATCTGTACAGCGGGCTGTCATCTCTGCCGGTGATTGACAGAATGTGTTTTTTCCTTGATTTTTAACCGTCACCACCATTCACACCAGCCTGGCATCATGGTCACCTGAGCTTTACTGACACTAACCCCCAAGGCTAATAATGAGATCAATATTGCCATGTTCTATTTGCATTTGCACAAATGGCATCAAGAGACCAAGTACTTTCAAGCACGAACATCTCCCCTCTTCTCCCATTCAATGCTCTTCCCCACCCTGTCCTGGCTGCCTCATCGTTATCGACTTTTTTCAAAGAGCTAAAAGAGATAAATGCAATCGATTGGACCGGGACATGTTACCACACTTATTTGAATAAAAAAAATTGCTAAAAGTGCTTCTTGTTAATGGCATAAATGGAGAATGTGCTTCCTGTCTTCACTTCTGTACTCTTACAGAGACAGCAGATGTGAAATGTGAGATGTGACATTGTGCACTGACACTCTCGATGATTTTCATTGGATACACACGAGGCCGCACAGTTTTCAAGTATGCTCTCTAGCGACTATACAATAACGTGCCTAATCTAAGATCTCTGATTAAAAAAAAAAAAAAACAACAACAACAACAACAACAATATTATTAGTATTATTATTAGTATTATATCCGTCGTGTCACCCGTCACATATGTACATTATATACTGCACTGTACTGTGTCAGGTTAATTTGGCTCTGTGCACTTCAGGCTCCAACTTCCCCTCTCACCCTGAATACAGCAATACAGCATAGCCAATGGATGGATGGGCGGAGCATTCAAAAGCACGAAGTCCATGATCATATGAATGCCCGCAAATGTGGTCCAGACATAAATTTGCTGTCTTTCTCCCTCTCGTCTCTGTCTGCAGACGTTGCTCCGCGATGGGAGGAGAGAGACCACGGTGAGCACGCTCTATCTGTCGGCCTCCAACATCGAGACTGGCCAACAGATCATTTGTAAGGCCTCAAACAAGGCAGTCCCCAATGGCAAGGAGACCGGTGTCACAATTGACGTCCAGCGTAAGCACATCACTTCATCTTCTTTGACGGGGGAATAGTTATATCTTTTACCTTGTCGTCTTTTTCATGTATTACTTTAAAAGTCACGTATCTTCTCTTCACTGTAGAAATGGGCAATGCTTTCTCTAATTGTTTTAAACTCCCGTTTTCATGTCAGTGTCATTTTGAGTCGAAAAATGCCGCCCTGAGACCTTCCTGAGTGTGGATGTAGCGCAGCTTTGCACTGCTGATGCCGTGCTGTTCTTCTATAGACGGCAAACGAGCAATGACTGACTCGACAGCATCTCTGCTGGTCACAGCCAAGCATTGTGATCAATTCAATAATCAACAGTCAATTCCACACGCCTGGTGATAATTCTTCCAGATTAATATATTATCCCTTATTATACTAATCCCAAGCGTTTACAGTAGATAAAGGTCAACTCGTGTCGACATTCAATGTTCCACTCCCTTTACTATCAATGTCCTCGTACCATCCTCGTAACAGGACGGATGAAATAGCAATGCATCTTTTATTTTTTATTTATGTATAAATACGAACAGAGCTATCCATCTGTCGTGAGCAGGATTGATCTCTACTATGATTGCCTCGCGACCGCCATCCGTCTTCCTTAGATGAGAACATGTGCGATCTTTTTTTAAAACAGGCAAAGCATGCCCAATGTGCAAAAATACTTGGGGGCCGCTTGTCTGGGAATCTTTTTGAGAACTGAGAGAGGGGAGCTTAGTACAAAAGGGATCTTGCATCATTTGCAGCCCTGTCGACACCATTAAGTATGTCTAATAAAGCAGAAAATGCTATTCAGGGGGCCATTATGACAGGCAGCTTTGTTCTTTGCAGTATGTGCATAAAAGGAGGCAAACACGGCAAGAGCGGGCACCGCATGATCTGGCCACTTTAGGCACACGAGTCTAAAATATGTCTTTTGTTTGCATTCCTTGGAGTCCGCCGAAGCTATTGTTTTATTTCTGTCGCTTAGTCATGGGGAAAGTATCCACACTCATACAGTACATATGTAGATATATCACTAAAGCTAATGATGCTTGTATCGTGGTCGACGCCGTGCGATGAAAACTACAATTCAACCCAAAAAAAACTGAAAACTAAACTAAAATTAGCACTCTAAAATGTGCACATTTAAAGGTCGGGTTAAAATAAAAGTCCCACAGCGTGAGAACAAAGTGAGCAACAGCGGAGACTAATTGTCGTGACTCAAAATTGTCTCCCACAAGGTTTAGCCTCGACACCATCCCTCTTTAACGCGCTCCTCCCCCCTTCTCCTTCTCCTCCTCCTCCCCACTGCACTGACTCGACAGGTAAGTGGCGCAGCACAGCTCAGCAGAGCTGATTTCTTTTCCGCTGACATACACTTTCAAATTAAAATGCAAAAATGAAACATGCCGTAATTGAACTTTGATTCACGCGTGTTGGGTATCAATTTGCTTAATTTCCATGGTGCCTTATTCAATTACAAGGTTCTTGGCTCAGCAGCAGAATTTGAAGCACAGCTTGTTTTTTTTTTTTTTTAAACAAGCCGTTTTCTGTGTTGTTGTTTTGAACCAGTTTAATTGCTCTTTTGTCCTTATTAGAGGCTCAAATTTCTTTTGTGACATGACCTTCTTATTCAATTATGGACCACAAAGAATTAAACAAAAAGAAGGTCCATTCGGAAAGAACAGATATTCAGTCAGGCCACAAGGAATTAAACGAAAAGAAGGCTATTGTGGCAGAACAGATATTTGGCAAGGTCAGTGAATTATTAAATCTAAATTGCACACACTTTGCCCTTCCCATACTGTCGATATTATTTGTTTGGAAAATGTAAGCCTATATAACAGAAAGGGAAGCCCCTTGATAATTGTCTTCATGATCCACTGAGAGGTGCTTGGATACGGATGGAAAATACATATCTTGCCTGTTTTGAAATATTCTGGCAATACAGAGTTTGCAGAGGGTCCACAGTCCGAATTGGGCCACAGCCAGCGAGAGAGGCATCGAGAGAAAAGCAGTGAATAAGCAGCCAGTGTGAAGTGCTGCACACACACTACTCACCTGCTCCTGATAACACACTCCACCAGAAAGGCTGTGAGAGGAACATATGCTTGCATCATACCTACACCAACATGTGTTTATAATTGTCCATTTTATAAACTTTATGCATATACCTGTTTAGTCTTTTTTATGTTGAAATGCAAGCAATTTGCATGAGATTTATTTATTTTTTTTCCTGAAAGGGTCTCCTCATTAAGCCATGTTAAAAATAAATATATTCGACTTCATCTTTTGAACAGCCGCGCTCTCATGTGTTTCAATAAGTGGTGTCTCGGCGGAGCATGAATATAGGAGGGATTAATGACGGTTACTGTAAATGGTTCTTATTAGTCTAAGTGGATCCCTGGTGAGGGGCCGAATGCAGCAGGTTGCTGAAGGTAAACTTCATTTTGCAGCTGCTGCTTTTCCCTCACAACGTATTTTCATGACCATACGACGCACCGTATTAAAAGGCGTGGGGTCAGTTGTGGCTGCTATTTCTGTATTTCACACATACACGCGGTGCATTGTATTATTGGACGCCGGCATGGTAAAACGTGCGCTACCTTAAAAAATATGCTAGCATGCATGCACGCTAGTGTATGTTTTTAAAAAGGCAGTTCAGTTGTACTTTGTTGAAGTATTTAACAATGTACTCACGTTATGTTTTTTTAGCAATCCTCATTCACAAATCTATCAAAGTCCTGATCTTTTATAGGCCAATTGAACAGCTGGGCAAATTCTCCATCTGACATGCTCCTCGGAAATGATGCCGGCTTTTGCGAAAGCTCAAACAACAGTGCAAGCGGACACGCTAGACCAAGCATCCACAATCCATTCACAAATTGTGGCGTGGCGCGAACGGCGCTGCCCCCATGTCTTAGTCGAGCTGTGTTCGCCATCACTCCCACACCGCTCGCAACTTCACTTTGACTGCGGCTGGAAACTTTTCTTTTGGCTTAAAAATCACCATAGGTGCTTGTTTATGTCCATTACCTTGACAACCAAGCACAACGGTAAAAGTTGACTTCTTGTGCCCCGATGTGTGTATCGCTATTGTCGCGGTCCCCTTCTCCTCTACTGTGTGGTTCATCGAGATGTTGAAATTGAATGGCACCTCATCCGACAAAAAAATAACTCTAAATTGTTGTAAATGTCAATAGTAAAAATTCCGTTCAGTTTCATTTCGAGTCTCTATCCTGCTTTTCCTCATTAGGATCGCTGTAGCCAATCCCAGCAGACCTTGGGCAATGTTTATGTTTTCCCTTGGGATCCATAACGGCATTGATTTTTATATTGATTCATGCAAAGATGGTTCAGGTGACATGCCACAATAAAATTTCGCATCGCATTTGTGTGTATCACCTTTAAGTTGAAGTGCGTGCTTCATCTCTCCTTTCTTTTGTTCTCATCATCTGAAACAAAGTAACTCTAGATTGAGTCCATTTCAACTGCAGTGACTTCTCGCCAATGTGCATAATTTCCTTCCATTCACCTCACAAAAAGAAGTTCATGTAGAGTTGCCTTGGGTTAAGCAATTTCCCATTTAAATACACTTTATGCAAAAATGAGTGGGATTTCAGGGGTTGAGGTGTAAGAGTAAAACCCTGATAGACTGCCGACTTCAGATTTGTCCATCGCTGTCAATTAGGGGCCAGTAATTACTGAGAAAGGATGAGTGACTACCTCCGATGCATGACTTCACATATTCCCTCTAATCAGTGGGAAAAAACCCCTACTGTGCTTCCTTGTACAGTCACCGGACACATCATTAGATGTAGTTAAAAAACGTAACGAGATCCAATCCAAGAGCTGTATCAAACATTATACCTCTGTGAGTATCATAATGATTAGGTTGTCTAGGTGTAACCCAGAGTTGTGCTTTGTGAATATATAATCACTTTAAAGACATCAAACAACACCTATGCCACGTCTTGTCCGCAAATCACACAAACGTCATAAATATTCCTTCTCTGTTTTTAAGTGCGACTGTATCCAAAGAGAGTTGACCCACATTGGAATATGCTGGCACTGTCTGGCTTCGCTGTGTGTTTGCATTGCAAACAAGCCGACCTGCGTGTGGAATGCCATTTGTTGAGGCTAATTAATAAAGGACATGCATATGTGCAGTTGGGGAGGTTTCGGGAGTGGACTCAGCAACAGTGCATGCTCGCTTTGTCGAAGATACAGTGGTACCTCTGATTATAAAATTAATTGGTTCTGGAAGAAATTTCTTAACGAGAAGAGAACAGGGACACTTTTTGCATGCGAATGCTATAATCCGTTCCAAGCCCCCCAAAATTCAGACATAAATGTTTTTTAAAGAATAAAAATGCATCGAAATATGTAGCAAATACATGTTACAATTAGATTATTGCACAAAAAATAAGAGTTGTGCAGAATATAAAAAAACTAAGAAAAGAGTAAAGAATAAAAAAAGATGGTCATTTAACTTTTAACTGCATCCTCAACATTTTTTGCCCTCTTTAGTTCATGTTCTTTCTCAGAAGTAGTTTTTGCCTGGCATTTTGTAAAGAACTGATCCAAGGACGTTTGCTTGTTTCGGCTTTTAAGAATCCTTCGAAAATGTCAAAAAGGCAAACATCAGCATACTGAGCGATCGCCCGAGTGGTGAACACTTTGTCTGGGTCATTCACATTTACGTAAAACATTCGGAACGCCTCATGGCCCAAGGGGCGAATGACGTGGACGCCGCATAGACACATGTATATATCTACATACAAAAGAGTCCCTCTTAGCCAATGGGATGCCAGGATGATGCTCGGAGTCTTGAGTCACGAGTCTTGAGTCGCGAATCGCCAGTCTTGAGTCGCGAATTGCCAAGAGCAGGGCAGCTATCAGTATGCTGCGTTCAGGAAACTCAGAGATTGCCCACCTTTCTATTAATGTGTCCTGTTGTTTGAATGGAGCTGCAATCATCTGTTTCCCTCTCTTTTTTTTTTCTATACATCCCTCTGACACCCATCCCCGAGCAACTCTTCGTTTGATGAAGCTAAGGAATCAACATTCTAAATTATTGATCAGCCGTTGCCTTCACAGTGTACCGCCCACTCTGCAAGTCATGCATTTATACATTAAAATGGCAAATGGACTTTTCTTTTAAGTCAACGTATGTCATGGCTGACAGGTTAAAAAAACAAACAAACAAACAAAAAAAAAAACTTTTTGACCGCTCTCATGGCTGTCAAAATGTATTGGGTTTATTGAGGTTAAGCAATTGTAATTTTGCTACGGGTGTAAAGTCACAATGGCACCATCTCTTCCGAACGGGCCTTTTTATGGGTCAGCTTCAGTCCTTGGAGGGGAAGATTAATTAGCAGACGGACTGCTTGTAATGTGCGTTTATGTTGTCAAAAGTCTCTCGGCAGCTGGACCTGAAGAGTTAAAAATAAATAAAGATAGGGATCGGCGCGCATAAAAAGTGCAGTGTTAAATGCTTTGTAGAATGTGTTGTGAATTGGCTTTGACATTTGTGTGTCTATTAGCAAAAACACCCCCCCCCCCTCCCATTCCCTTCCACATCTCCCCCAACTCTTTAATGTCTGCTTTGCTGCTCTTCAGCTTCTGGCTGGATTTTTATTACAGGCCTCTCCAGCGCCACATCTGTCATTTTCGCCTTTGAGGTTCCCTCTGCCCACATTTTTGTCCACGCAATTAACCACTTGCATGGCTAAAAACACCCAACGGGCTGACTAACATTGCAGCTCCAAGTGAAGATTGCTTTGACACACACCCACATGCCCTGTAAACAGCCACACATACTCATTGCGAAAGACTATACAGAGAAAACTCACCAATGCAGTTAACGTATCGTTGCCAAAGGAGGAATATGAGTTTGTTGTGGTTTTACGGTGCACTCACTTCTAACCTGGCATCGTCTCTAACCTGGCACCGTCTCGGTGAAATAACTGCTGGTGGATTCTTACGTGACTTGATAAGCCTTTGTAGGGCAAGTAACGAATTGTGGTGCGTGTCACTCCGAAGAATAAAATGGTGAGCAGAACATGGGTTCAATTTAAATGTTGTGTTTCAGTTGTGACTATTTTTTTTCAAGATGTAATGACTATCAACAGTATTTGTCTGTCCACCTACTGCATCTAACAATCTATTGGCCTGCGTCATTACTTGTAATTACTTTTTTTTTTTCAAAACAGGAATAGTAATATGGCGGAATGGTGTTTGCCTCACTGTTTTGACGTCGGCAGTTTGCGCTTGCATGTACTACCGCTACCTGTTTGTGGCTTACTCTGACCAAAAAAAAAAAAAAAAAAAAGATTGTTATTTTAAGACTTCTAAATGTCCAAACATGCCACTGTAAGTCATGTGAATGTGAACACGTGTTTGTCTGTATGTGCCCAGCAATTGGCTTGCGACAAGTCCAGGTAGCCCCCATCTTTCAACCAAAGTCAGATGGGATCCGCTCCAGTTCTCCTACAAACCTAATGAGAAAAAGCGCTATTTAAAAAGACTGGATGGATATTATATGAAATATTTTTACTTTTTTTTGCCTCTACAGTACACAGATTTTAATATTATTTTTTAAAAAAGTAGTAGTTTGATTGAACTTGGTGAAAAAATAACCATGTGCTATCCCTATATTGATTAAATTGTCAAATGGTTTGAGTTCTTGATTGCTTAATGAGACTCATTTTGTATAACAATAGGAAATAAGATTTGGGGGGATAAATGATTTTTAGCACTGCATGTTGGCCATGTTTACTGGGAGTGTTCAGGGAAGGACCGGACATTTTTTTTGTGCCTCACGATGGTAGAAGGCACACCTACACAAACAGTTTTGCTGGAAAATAGTCCAGTTTTAATGTAACGTCATACTTGTTTTTTGGATCATATCCTCCTCGTGGGCTTCATGACAGCTGAGCAAGAGGCAAAACATCTGCACCGCTGCAGGGCAAAAATCAGTTTCCCTCCACATTAAAAACCACCCCCGTTTGCAGCCATACACACTTCACTGTTTGGCGGCAAAACATGTTTGTCTTTTGTTTGACTGCTCTTCATCGCCGTCCAAGTACAATCCCTTGTTATTACATTAGAAGTGTTGAACATAGAGAGCAAAGACACAGTGCACATTTTGAAACAGATGGCAGCGAGAGCATCAACACACACACACACACACACACAAAAAAAAAAAAAAAAAGCATCGCTTACCCAAATGACTAATCTACTGTCCTTGATGCTGTAACAGAACACGACCAGAACTACAGATGGCAAAAGGTAATGATGTTGCAGGGGTGAGTCGAGGAAAGAGAGTAAATGCCTCAGCACAGGTTTTACTCTTATTTTATTTTCTTCATTTTGGCAACAGCGTTGAAATTCATGAAGGATATAAAAATGTTCTTTGAATTCCATCTCATAGATAATACCGCACCAGACTGTGCAAAAGAAAAGGCCCAGAGGAAAAAGAGGATCCAAAAAACATGGTCCAGTGATGCACAACGTGCATGTAACTCTTTGCCTTGGCTTAATCAGGGGGGGGAAAAAAGGAGACAAAAACCTCACTTTTTCCATGCAGTGACAGGAGAAACCGCAAAACCACTTCACTAGTCGGCGAGTGTTGGTCTACCGAGTAAATAGCATTGTCTTTTCTTTTCCTTTTATTTTTTTTCTCCCCCCACTGGAGACAGCATTGAAATGGAAATGAGCACGCACCTTCAAAAGGAACCCACCTTTTCACAATTAGGATAAATAAGTTGTTTATTACATTTGCATAATCTGAATGCCTGTTATGTCTCTCTGATGTTGCTCATTGTTATATTTGTCGTGAATTGCAGTGTGGACTCCTCAATATTTATTTATTTATTTATTTAGCAAATTGCCATTTACTGGAACTGATTACGAAGTCAAGTTTTCCTTTGATTTCCTTCTCAGCGATTTGTAATCATGATAGGTCATAAAAGGTAGCGGTTCTTCCTAAACACTTACCTGTATTCTGTTTTCACGAGATCACCTGGGTGAAGGGAAGATTAAAACATGGCAACGAATTCATATGAAGTCTGAATATGAGGGTATCAAGGACAATTTGCAATAGTAGCCACATAAACATCGAAAAAAAGATTCAGATTAGTACATCAGGAAACATTTTGTTTTAAATGCTTTTTGTGTCACTAAGATCGGGGATGAAGTCATTATGACTGTGCATTTAGGTTGGGGCAGGGGTACCCACACTTTTTCAATAAGCGAGCTACTTATAAATTAACCAAGTCAATATGATCGAAAAATAACATACAAAAGAAATGTATGATCTATTTATTTATGAATATATTGAGAATTCTATATATGTACAATAGATGTGGGTGTCGCTTGCATAACCGCATGAACTCATGTTGTGCAATACTACTAGCGTACATTTTTTTTTTTTTTTTGTCTTTGCTTTCATCTGATGATTTGCAGCGAATTGAATCAGTTGGAGATGCACAGTTTTGGACAGGAGCTGCTGATGGCAAGCTCTAAGCACAATTCCAAATGATCATCGCTCATGGTTGAACAGTTCTGGGACTTGATGTTTTTATCAACGGCCTAAAAATGTCGCTCCATATTTCCATTCTTTGGTGAAACCGCACTTGCAGATGAGGCAAACGCACTTCAAAAATCACATTGTGTGTGTGTGTGTGTGGGGGGGGGGGGGTCCTTCTCTCACTCCGTGTATGGAAATAATTGGCTCCCGATGGCCCCTAATAATTTTGATACTTTTGATTAAGTTGAAAGTAGACAAAACATATTGGAGGCTAATATGTCAACTCGCTAGTTTGATCGAGTTTTGCAGCAGCTAGCGCCATTGTGTTTGCATGCGCGGTGACACGTGCAACAGGTTTATGAGTGGCTGCCCTGTGCGGCAATCGAGTGACAAAGTTCATCATGGATGACGACAGGCTAACATATATCTGTACGTGTGTTTATTTATTAATATTGTTATTATTCAATTCAATTCAATTTTTTAACCCATTCAGTGGTTTTGAGAGGCCACTGTTGCATATGTCAATAATATGAAACTGAGAAGGCTGGCAGTGAATCAGTTAATGCTCTGGGATAGAGCCACTCTTCCATTGCGAACGACTCATCAATCACATTCGACAGAATGGGTGCTTCATATTTTGTATTATCGTTTGTACTTTTGTGGGGGAATCATGTTGGATGTTAATGTAATCACACAAAAGAAAGAATCATGATGATGATGATGATAATGTTGTAATATTATGACTTCATTCCTGTAATGGTCTAACTGTTTAGAATGTTTTAACTTCCAATGAATATCCCAACTTTGTCAATATAGAATTACTTAATTCTAAAATGATGAGAAACATGCCCTTGTTGAAAAATTCTTTCTGGTCACAGGATTATTTTATCCTTATTTTATATCTTCATTTGACTTTTTCTCCGAATGCTTCCTTGCCTTCATATAAATGTCAGATCTTATGACTTTATTTTGACAAGCAAGCAGCCAAGGAGAGCAGACAACGTAGCGTCTCTTTTCAGTTCCCCACAGGATGTGTTCAACATGTCACTGACACTTTTACTTCATATATCTTGTTTGTGTCTGTGCTTTCTTTTAGATTTTCCTCTTGTCAATCTCTCAGTGGAGCCTCAGCCAGTTCTTGAGGGAAACCTTGTGCGATTTCACTGCTCTGCAAAGGCCAATCCACCGGTCACACTTTACAGGTGAGGCCACGGAATAGGCATCCACTGACAATGTAATATATATCGTGCTTTAGTCGAAAGATTTCCGTGCTCAAATTCCATTTTGTGGGTCTTTTAACCGTGATGAATTTAATGAATGTCCTTCTGGCGGTGTCAAGTCAAAACCAAGAATTATTATGTTTGGACAAGCAGCACCTTTTTGCACCTGGCATGAGGTAGCCGCTAAAAGTAAAGACGCCATCAACTCATGAAGGGAAGTCGTGGCATATCTGACTAGGTTGCAGTCAAACAATCCTGCGATTTGTTGTGCAGCTTTTTTTTTTGCTTTGTGGTCAAGAGCTCAAGATCACAGCTTTTTTGTTGTTTTTGAAAAATTGCTTTGTGTTCAAGTGCACTGTAGGGTGACACGTTTCCCCCTTCGGGGTTGTGTTTGCCTCGTGTACATTCCTGTGCAGGAGATGGATACACTGTGTGCACTTAGGGGACTACTGTTCATCCATATGTTTATATATTTTTTTTACTGTCGCGCTCTTTTTACAATTTTCAGCATCTAAAAGTTGGAAATGATGTCCATCACTCTATTTGTCTATACCAACAACAAAATGGACGTTAATTGTGGTCTGACATTCTTATGAGGGGCTCTAAAAAAGTGATCTGTCAAGAGAACTGTGTGCGTGTGCGCGTGTATGTGTGTGTGTGTGTTGGTTGGGGGACTTTTGTTTAAAAACAGGGTGAAAATAAATGGAATGAAATCGATGGCAAAAGGATGTGGTTGGCCATGAATCGTGCAAAGGTACCGACTGAGAAATGAAATGGATGTGCAACACACTCACAGGTGGCAAAACAGAGACGTTACCTTTTTCTGATGGATTCAGCCCTTTTGAAAAAGAGAGTGAAGAGGGGAGACGGGTGGGGGTGGTTGGTGGCGGGGGGGTTTCAGTGACATTGTTGAAAACAAGGTTGGGATTTGATTGTGTTGGGTGCACAGCCGCGACGGTGTGTCTATTGCACTTGCAAAGAGATTTCACCTCTATTGTTATGTGACTGGATCAATGCTTGAAGCACAATTCTCGCCCGGATATCAAGCGCTAAGATGCACTGGCAGGTGTGAATTATTATGATTATTATTTTTTTTATAATTGATTTATTTCTTTTTGTTGATGCCTCTAGCTCAGCAAATCATGCCTGGAGGGCTGATGAGCTTGAGTTGTCTGTCCGTACCATAATTGCTAACCACCTTTTGTTGTAATTATCAACAACCTCAACACAGTGTGGTTGCTCTTAGTTAACCTCCCTGCACTTCGATGTTGCTGCGGTGTCTGGCTTTTTGTGACTGACACAAGCATTCACTAATAATCCAGACAGTCTATTGCCTTTTGATTCTTCAAGGTGAGAGCCACACTCTTCCCCCATCTTTCTGAGTCTCCTACTCAGATTTATCTGCGGTTAATATGAGAGCTTCACCATTCTATGCACTATTGGCATTTGGAAGTGGATGGTAGAGTGGGGATTTTGGGGGGGGGCCATAATGCACACCTGAAAGCCTTTGACTCGTGAGAACCCCTCACAAATCCACCCTCTGGAGAGCAATACCACGAGAGGAGGACAGGAAGCTGATCAAGCAGTGTGAGGGCTATTATTCAGTGCTAATACACTCTGTCTAACCCAGATCAGATAAAGCACAAGGACAGGCTAGCTCTTAGATGAACGGCCTCTTTGCCATCCCTGGGAGAGCCATCCATTGCCAACGTGCACTGCACCACTTTGCAACCCTCCATTTACCAGACACTTGAAACGAGGGTCCGAGATACTGCCGACAGTAGTCAAAAGTCATGATGCTTTCTGATGACTAACACCACTTGAGTTTGACCATGAATCTAACTTGAAGCATTACGTCTTGAAACAAGTAATGTAATGAACTAGATCGGGGGTTACCGACGTGGTGCCTGTGGGCACCAGGTAGCCCCCATGGACCACTTGATTAGCTTGCCGGCCTGTTGTAAAAATCACTCACCAGTGATGGGACGATAATGATTTCCCAGGAATGTTGTAGTCGTGATCGTCGATCGAAGTGTGAAGATTGGCAGGCTTTTATCGAAATACAATATTGCATATTAACATCTAGTTCCTAATTGTTATGAAAAATTAATTACCTGTATGATGAGTGTCCTCACATAAATATCATTAATTGTTCATTATAAAAAAACTAGACCCATATGGATTTTATATGTATACACACACACACACACACACACACACACACACACACACACACACACACACACACACACACGCACACACACACACTATTTTTGGGGGGCGCGGGGCTGAAGGCTGACTGCAATATTTGTCGGAATAGATATACAATAACCAATTAATTGTCCTTTTAATTAAGAAATAATCAAATGAATAAAAACTTTTTTATTATTAATTCACAATGAAAATGTGAATTACAGGCAGAACATTTGACTGTTTTATAACACTTTGTCCTTTAGTATTTGTTTAACTTTATAACAGAGGAAAATCAGCAAAAAAGTGTCGATATGTCACACAAATAAAATCCGATTTTGTTTTTATGCTACTGTTTGAAGAGCTAAAATTGGCTAATTCAATCTGATGCCATCATTAAAAGAAATTTGAACCACAGCAATTTTAACAATCTTTTTTTTTTTTGGTTTCTCAGGCAACAAAAAAATTGAGACATGGAGGCCTTTGGTTCCAAGCTCCGACATGAGCGACTAGATCTTGTCTCTTCCAAACGAATGGTTGACGTGGGATCATCGTGTTCATCAAACCCGAGAGCATGCAACAAGAAAATTCTAAAATAGATTTATTAAAAGACAAATGATTGGAGAAAGGCATGTTGGGAATGCGTTCATTGCAATCATATAGGTAGTCGAGCCAGCTGGGATGCAATCCAGTTTGCAACCTTTGATGATGAAACCAGATTTTTTTTTTTTTTTCCCCAGAAATAAACAAGAAGCCACTCGAGATTGCAGAGTGGCAAACAAAGAAAATTAGGTCCCATGTCTGCCGCCTGCAACTCGGCACCAAAGCGTCAACAAAGCTCCTTATTTGCATGCCCCTCTTTGGATGATTTAGGATGCTTCGGATCCTGATGTGTTGTTCTATTGAAATGATTTTGATTGACCTCATTGGTATCAGATCTTCCACGGTTGCAAGGAAAGCTGCTTGCTGTTGTTTTTGGCATTCCCCATTTACACATTTTTTTTTCTTGAATACACCGACTGACTTGCCTGCTCCATATAATAGTCGAACACATTTATTTGTCTTAAGCACTTGTCTAAACCGGACTCTTTGGTCGGTGAGAAGAGCTCAAGTTTTTCCACACCCAACTCATTCACTCATGCCTTTTATGGACGTTATTTGCTTCAAAAAGAAAAAAAAAACGGTCTCAACAAAATTACAATAATACTATTCTCATCAAGGTCCTGCTAAAATTAGAAAATAACTTTCAAGATGAATGAAACCCGGCCATGAATGAAATCATCTTTAACTCTTCAAGGTGTGCCCTATCTACAACCCTGAAAAGAATTGGATTTTCGGTTCACCAAAACACTGCTGATTCAAACACAGTCTCCCCCCTCAGAGCTATCAAAGCAGTGAGAAAAATACCAAAGACGCCGTCATCATCGATCATTTCAACATGTTAAGAAACAACTTACATTCTGTATATTTGAAGACGAAGCTCCACTGCAAATACCAAACAGATCTGACCGAATTACTGTCTCCACAATAATTCCCAAACTTCCGACTCAGAGTCATTTGCGCCGAGATCGATAACACTTGCTGTCATCACCAATTATGCAACCATGATCATCCTCATTGCTGTCATTATTGTCTGGCATGTAATTATATCATTAGCATCATCCTGATCATCATTGTCATAAAAATGACTCACGATGATACTCATTTAGGAATGCAAAGTAAATCATTTCTCGTGATTATGACGGACATTTTATTGAATCGTTCTTGTGTCTCCCATTTATTCCCATTATTCCTTTATTAGACTTTGCTGATACATGATACCAATATATACTTATTATATTTATACTTGTGAAGCATGTATGTCCCAAAGCATATCCTTTATGTAATCCCTAACACAGTACATGCGGAACAACATTGCTGCTAGTGATTGGCAAGTTTGGACAAAAAAGACCAGTGGGGCCTGATTTATCTATTCATTTATTTTTAAAACAGAACATAGCCCAGTGGTCCAGTGGTTAGCGTGTCTAGCTCACAGTGCAGAGGTTGTGGGTTCAATTCCAGCTCCAACCTCCCTGGGTGGAGTTTGCATGTTCTCCCTGGGCCTGCTTGGGTTTTCTCCGGGTACTCCGGTTTCCTCCCACATGCCAAAAACATACATGGCATGCTGATTGAACACTCTAAATTGTCCCTCGGTGTGAGTATGAGCGTGAATGGTTGTTTGTTTCTGTGTGCCCTGCGATTGGCTGGCAACCAGTTCAGGGTGTCCCCCGCCTATTGCCCAAAGACAGCTGGGATAGGCTCCAGCACGCCCCGCGACCCTTGTGAGGATAAAACGGATCAGAAAATGGATGGGTGGAAAACAGACCATGACCGAATAGAAACGCCTACAAAATAAAATCCGGTGAGGTTCAATTAATTTTGAGCTGCATTTTAGTTCGTGATTGAATGAGGCAATCTTTTTTTCCTCATATAAACGGCAGCATTTCAATCAAGCGTGGCCCCACTTTAGTCGCGGGGAACAAAAGCGTTCCCTCCGCTGTGAAGCTCCTGCCGCTCAGTATTGGCAGCAACGTGTGTCAGGCTACGGATACAAGACACCGGTGCCATTGTTCTTTTTTTTTTTTTTTTGCATTTAGCAAACTGTTGTTATCGAATTGAAATTGAATTGTGGTGTGGGCAGGGAGATTGCGAGGAGACTCCCTTCCCGAGAACGTTCATCACGGGTGACGTGACGATACACATTCTACTATTCTACTCTTTGTCTCTTTCACTGTTGTTCTGATGCGTGTACAATGCTGCTATGGTGACAGTCACACTGCAGGGCCAGATGCCCGATTCAGATTTTTTTTTTCGTTAAATCCGACCTCGTCGTTCACGTTATAAAACCAATGCGCCTTCTCATGCGGAAAGGTATGCATCTGTGAAATAACACCGATTGCGCACAAAACCTGACATTGGTGATGAATGGGTTAGATGAGTGTGACCTGAGTGTCATACTACACTCGTATCAGACACATACGGAATTTAATCCACGTGAGAAAGAGGCCTAGGTTGGATTTGAAAAAAAAAATTCAAATTACACTATCCATATTGACATGAAAAAATTAGATACCTGACACATTGGTCAAAACGATCCGAATTATATACAAATAGCCGAAATTGTGGTAATTTACAGCACATTTAAAGTGAAACTGCAACTTTGAGGATCATTTTCCGTGTTTCTTTATGGCGGTCAACCGACAAAATGTCTGTCACATGCAACAGTAATCAATCTTTCAAGGTGTTTTCTTTTTTTTTTCTGAAAGACTTTCTGCCTGGCTTAGATAGAAAAAAACTCCTTAGCTCCGAGCTGTAAAGGACTTTGTTGGAGCATGCTCAGTATGTAAAAGCATTCCCTTATTCACACAAAGAATGAAAAGTATTCACTTGAAGAAGGATGACAAAAACGCTTTAATGCCTTTCCTCACTTTTCTTTGCTCCATTCCTCGCTATCTTTACTAGGTGGGCCAAAGGAGGAAGTATAATCAAGGAGGTCTCCGGCGATACATACGAGGTGATCGTGGACCACTCCTTCTTCACAGAGCCGGTTTCCTGTGCAGTCACAAACCAACTCGGCAGCACCAACGTTAGCCGTCATGTCGACGTCTACTGTGAGTGTTACCTTGAAAAAGTGCTTTTCTGTCAATTCAACGTTTGCTTCTCAGTCTGCCCGATCATACTGTCCGTGACTTTTGTTGAAACAGTCGGACCTCGCATGGCAGCAGAGCCTCAGTCCTTGCAGGTTGACCTTGGCTCGGATGCCGTCTTCAACTGTGCCTGGACGGGAAATCCCTCTCTTACCATAGTGTGGATGAAGAGAGGTTCTGGAGTGGTGGGTGTTATTATTTCCAAGTCAAGCACAATCTATTTCGGAATGCTCGGAAACGTCTCCATTTAATTTCAGTATGCACGTTTTTTTCTCTACATAGGAAATAATAGATGTAGCAATATAATCAATCAATTGGGTACAATCATAAAACTTCCTTCGACGTCAGCCCAGGCCGTGGGGGAACGGGCTTCCTTCATCACTAAATTGCATTTCATCACCATTTCAGAACCCTCATGAACATAAATAAATAAACAACAGTAACTGCACACTACTTTTATTCATTTGGAAACAGTTTGGACACCTTTAAACAAAAAATATATACATTCTTGATATATTAGCGCACCTCCTCTTGCTTCTCGACCCAAAAGTGCCCCTTGTCCTTTGCCTTTCGGGTTCGTGGCGGTACGGTGGACGGCTGAAAATCGCTTGGACATTATCATGTTTTCAGATTAAAGCGCAATGCATGTAGAGTTGTTGTGTGACATCACATACGACACTTCCCAAACATCCTAGTCAAATTTAAATCGTACAACTCCGGGGGTATTAGAGGTCCCACTGTGTAAGAAATTGAAGTCGTTAATGTGTGTTCTATATTGTTGCCTATGACATCATCATTGTTCTGAATAGGAAGGTGAGGTCACTCTTTGGTGACCTCCTTGAACATGCTATTTATAGGTTTGATCCCCACATTCCAACTCATTCCAGCTCCCTCTGTCACCATGGAGGGTAGCATGAACACCTTTATTCCACTGAGCTTAGAACCCAAATTGGATTTTAATAATTGAGAAGAGCTACCCGTCATAGTTTCCAGTCGTCCACATGCTACAGTGCCCCCCCCCCCACTGTCATTTTCCTTTATTTCTAATTCATATTTGGAAGCGTATTGTGCGTTTTCATAATTTTTTTTTTGTCATATTTCCCACAGGTCCTGAGCAATGAGAACCTTCTAACACTGAAATCGGTGCGCCAGGAAGATGCTGGGAAGTACGTTTGCCGTGCTGTTGTCCCAAGAGTTGGCGCAGGGGAGAAGGAAGTTGCTCTCACTGTCAATGGTAAGATGTGTACAGTATTCCAACATATGTCATTTAAAAGAAAATTCCAACCACATTCATTGCTGTTCTTAACATACCATACCATATTTTACAATTTACGGTGCTCTTTTCCACCCAACATACCTTTTCGAGCCATGGACAAAAAGTTAATCATTCATTTGAGATTCTGTATGTTTAAAAATAAATAAATTAATAAATAATAATCAGAATAATTAGAATAAATCTGGGTTTAGTATCACTGTAGTCAGGTGATTACTGGTCAAGGCATAAATGAAGACAATTACAATTTCAAAGTTGATCCACATGAGTCACATGAGTACATGTGGAGGCAGTTTTTACTTTATTTTATTTATTATTATTATATATATTTTTTTTTTGGGTTTTTTTTGAGGTACTGACTGGCTAATGATTATTAGCCTTGGCGGGAGACCTGGCAACCCTCAAACAAATGACTTCATTAGTGCTACTTGATATTCTGGGAACACATCATTTGTGACACTGACTCTTGGGTGTCTCTTATTTGTCAAGTGGTCCATGCAAAAACAGTCCGGGATAATCATCAAACCGGTGGGAAATTATGCCGCCGAAACGACAAGGTTGTTTCTTTTTAGAGGCATGCAGCATGTTGTGTACTTAACGCTGACAATGTTGCATTGTACATTTTGAGAGCTAACAAAAGAGTTTGCCTGGAAGCAACTCTGTGCTGATTTGGGGATGAAAATACATCAAGAAGAAAATGGGGTGTGTGAGGATTTTCCTTTTCAAAACCCAGATGTTAGCTTTGCATATCAGAAGGAATGGGCAAACAGAATTCCCCCCGTAGCACCGGATCAAAACCGGGACTTTCTATGAACCGCCTTGAATATGGTTGGAACTGAAGGCAAGAAGAGGCGTCATGACTAATTCCGTTGTTTTCACTTTATTGAAATCTACTAGCGGCCTTGCTTTGATAGCCTCAATAAATAAACAGAATACATGATGAGAAGAAGGAGAAAGCAGATGGATTGTTTTAATTAGGATTACAATGGAGCGCAACTCCAAGCGTCCTCGGGAACAACACAACAAGCAGCAGATTATTTTTACGTTGTCTTTGCAACGTGTGCTCGGGCGAGATTTGAATGTGTTCTCGTACTTTTCTTCCAAGCTCTGCTGTGTTTACCTCCACCTTGCCTGAATTTTTCATTCAAAAGCCTCCCACGTTATTATTTTTTTTTTTTTTGCCCTCCTGAATAATTGACATTCATTTTCCAAAGCACATGAGGCATTTCAAGGCATTTTTTTTTTAGTTTGCGCCGGAGGTGAATCTGATTGTCCAACATGTCAAAGCGTCAACGTCGTGCTTGTGTGCACACAGTAGCTTTTTGCATTGTGACACTGTTGCCATTGTAGATAAGGCCAAGCTCCTCGGAACGGGCTATAAACATACTGCGGTATCTCCTTCAATAACTACGAGAACGGCACTAAAGATTCTTGGCAAAGAACAAAAAGAACAAACCCTTTCTCCTCACGTGACATGCATAAAGTAAGTGTCATTGGACAAATAATATTAACATTCTGCTCCACATCGATTCTCAAGAGGGCTTATGAAATAAGTGAATGCAGTCAACACAAAAATGGCAGCTTCAGCTTCAGCTCGCGCAGCAAAGAGCGATGAGAAGAAAAAAAAAAAATCAGTCTTCTCCTGACCCTGTTATTTTGATGTGCCATGCACATGGGTCACCTATTCGCAAAGTTCCAGGAACATAACAGAGCGATGCTACCACGACAGTAACCAGAGTCAAGGGTGTCACGTTCAAGTCCCTGCCGCACATTCAAATTTCTTTATTGTTAGTTTTCCCTGCAGTGATCCTCCAAGCCCTTTAACGACTTCATTTAAATCGCATGTGTCATTCCGTCTATCTCGCTCCGCCGTGGCGCTCTGTGTTGCCAACTCCCACAGTGGCGGAGCGCATCGACACAAGGATTGCGGCTTTTCCCTGGGGAAGACTGTAATTTAATTATAATCAAACAGCTAGCAGGGGAGGCACTTTGTGTTTAAGTCACTAATGGATACATATTGCTTACTCTTCTCATACACTCACAGTGAATTTGCTCATCAGCACCTCAAATGAGGTTATGTGATGCAAGTGTGACCATATCCATATATGTGATTATTTACATCCAACACAGTATGGACTGTAGTATACATTAGCATGTAGCATACGTCTTTGAGATTTTTATCAGTGATCTAAATAGACAGGAGAAACAGCATGCACACAAACGGAGAAAAAAAAAAGGAGTCACAGAAATTCGAATGTTTATTAAACTTAAATATATGTGCCATAATTTCAAATGCAAAGTAAGCATAGTGGACAATATGTTTCGCAGAAGCGAAAACACAAAACACAAACCAACAGTAACAGTAACAGAAACACTGACAGAAGCAATGACCTGACACTGAGTTGTCGGCGGCGGGTCCTTTAAACAGAAAAATAATGACACAATGACCAACTGTTGTTGCAGCAGCGGCAGCAGGCGCCCTACAGTGCCACCTATCGGTCGCAAACAGATCCAGGACAATACAGTATACTTCATTCATATTATATCAATGCGTGTTGATGGGATAGTTTTTTTTTCTCACGGCTCAAACTCTGTTTACCTCTAAGTCTTTAAATTAGTATGCATAATGACTCAAACAAGAATCCAAGAAGAGAGAGAGAGCCTGTAATCACAACAAGGTAACAGGAGGGTTTCAGACCCCCAATACACCCCACAGAGCATCAGGCCAATATAGATATATATTTTTTTCTTGCTCACCACACTTTAAATAAGCATTGGCCCAGAGGAACTGAACTAAATGTTCATCGTCACTTATCACTTATTAAACGTCACTATTTTAGGACAAAAGAGAGGTTGTCAGCTCTGCGCTGGCAGCATCCTCTGACAAAAGATTCTCCCGTTCCTCCTTTGAAAAGAACGTGACCACCAGTGGCCATGTTTCAGACATGTTTCTGCTTCCTTAGCTGCTTTGTTCCCTCTTATTTCACAAGAACACAAGACAACTCAAAAACCAGTTGCAATTTAGTTTTTTTTTTTTTTTTTTTTTTTTTTTTTATCCGCTTCAAAGAAAAAGCTGAGCTTTTATTCGGAGGGAAATGTACAGTAAGTGCTGGTGACTTTTGACACCCACGCAGAGGTTGTGTAATCAGATTGGAATGTCCACTCCAGTGTCAATGCCTCCTCCAATGAGTGACAAATTGCACCCAACACTTTGATGACCTCCCCTGCTGAGAAAATGGATGTGGCATAGTGCCGCTCACCACCATGATCACAGTGGGGTTTTTTGGGGTAGGGGGGGTTCAACATACAGACACACTTTCAACTTGCGTCACGGAGAAAATGCTCCTCATTTGCAAGACGGATCCATAGAATAGATCCTTTATTTTACTAAGACCACAGGCCCTTTTGCAGCCTACAAGCTATTGATCTTGCTCTGTTTACACGCTGCACTCTGAGAAATGACATGCGTGTTTCATGTACAAACAAACTATTGCACATTTGTGACAGTAATCGGTCATTAAAGGCAAATGAGTGGAAAAACAAACAAAAAAAAAAGACAAGCTTCCTGTACAATTTGACTCAAGATGGTCGGTAGCGGCATTCATTCTGTAGTCATCCACTAGCATACCGAGGCTCCATCAGGCAAAGTCTCATTAAAATGTTCATTCATTTTAATAAGAGACAGGTAATAAACTGCAATTATTTATCAGTGTAGAGCTGGCGGAGAGTTTGGAGGAAGTCGGCAAGTGACGCGAGTGGTTCTCACTCATCGACAAGATGCCTTCTGCGCCACCCCCTCAAAACACATGTCTTTCACCTGAAACATCACAAGAGAGTCACTAAACATTTGATGATGTCCTTGCCTTGTTGTTTATTGGAATAACCTCACGCTTTTTATCAGCATGGAGAGGAGATGAAGGTGTCACTTGAGATTCTTTTGAAATACAAAACTTACGCTTGGCACAAATAGGGGGTGTTGGAGGGGGATTTACCAAAATAGTTGTTGAATCATCCTCCAATCCCCCTAAAGAACGGAATTATGCTGCTGACAAACACAACACGAATCTGTCCATTGTTGCGACAGAATTCCATCGAAAGTCAAAGCTGTTTGCGCAGATAGGTGCGAAATGTGCTCGGGCGGCATGATTGACATGTTTGAATCGACGCGCGGGTGATGGGGGGCCAGCACATTTCGTCAAGTTGAGAAATTTGTGGTTGTCAAGCCATAATTAGGTGGCCTATTCGGGAAGAGAGATGCAGGACAAAGGGCCCGTCCCGCTTCCTGGATTTTGAGGGAGGGAGAACAATTATGACTAATAACCATAAGATGGCGGGGGGGGTCATACACGAAAACTCACCGGTACTCAATGATGACAGGGAAGCCGGATATATTGAATCTGCAAAAACGGCAAACGGCACGAAAAGAAAATTACACAACTTCATCAAAGTTGAATGATTGACATGTTTGAATATATTGTAGACAACAAGTTGCCCGATTTGATCTCTTGACGGAAGATGATGTACGCGCTTTCAATGTTTTTCTCTTTGAAAATTGGATTTGAACCAACATTATTGCAAGTTTTCTTGACCTGAAACATGTCTGAAATGCTCTTTGAGCCTCTCGTCAAATCATGATTTTTTTTAAGGTAATTTTTGCTAATTGAAACCGTTTCAGCAAAACAAAATCTGAGTAAAACAAATAAATATGGTCAAATTTTAGAGCGGTTCTTCAACATAAATGCAACCCATTCATCGTTTCACACAAATTGGCTAAAAAAAAAAATAATAATAATCAAAACTGCCCATCCAAAACAAATGAAAGTAAAACATGTCTACCATTTTTTTCTTGTCTTGCACAAAATGAATCAGAAGAAAACAAACCAGAGGAGGAACTGAGTCAAGTGTGACAGTGACATATTTCATGAGTGTGGTCACCGTGGTGTGAACAGCCCCCAAAGCAAATGTATGCTTGTCCAGTCAGTCACTTGGGCAGAACGGCTCCTGTCAGGCAAAGCCTTGCGATCCTTTTAGAGATAAATTCAAAAGACACCCTGAAAGATAAACCTGAATGGTATTAGGCTAACATTAAAGACACCTACAAACAGTATGGGGGATGTTAAACCAAAACACAATGTCATTGAGCCTCTGACTTAATTTGAAGTCGACTCTGTGTATGAGTTGCAGGAGAGTAAGATGACTTCTACATTTTTTTTCCTAAAATTCTGGTTCATAGGTCAAACCTCTGATAAAACACAGCAAGGTGGTTGTTATCTCCCTGCAATATGCAATATTTCTCCTTGTGTCTGCGTTGTCCCGATTACAGCGTCAAGTACCGCATCACAGCTTCCCGGCATGCTTTTTCTCGGTTGGAGAACTCAAACAAGCCATACATCAGAAAAAACAAACAAAACAAAACAAAAAAAAAAAATCCAGATCCAGAATGAGGTCTCATGCCCTTCATTCAGTCCCTGCATGTACTTGGGTAGATAATACAACGGGACGAGACACTGCAATACATCTTTTCCATGGAGTCTTGACTTAGGGAACGCTTCATCAATCACAGTCTCATGAGAAGTTGGTTGGAACACATACGAAAAGTTAGGCAACATACACCGAAAAGAAAATGGTGTGTTGAATTTACTCCATTTTATTTTATCAAGTAGCTGCACAAAATGATCTGGATACAGATACATTTTTTTGAGTAAATGTATTGTCGACTTTAAAAAAAAATGTAACTGGAACCAATGCTTTCTTTTCATGCAACCACTTGACAAAATGGAGTGATTTTAACCCTAAAAAATTTTGTCAGTGTACAAACTGGGTGTGTCACTGTGACGGCACTCCCAAAAAGTATTCCGTAACATTTAATAAAAGCAACCTTTTACATGTGGCCCCTATAATTTGTCTCCTATTATTTTTGTTCTACTTTCTAACAGTGTAATGCGTTACTGTGCGTACTCAAACTAAAATGTTTTTTGTTTTTCTTTTTTTAATGAAAATACACAGGGCCACCCACCATTTCCAGCACTCAGACACAACAAGCCTTGCACGGGGAGAAAGGACAAATCAAATGTTTTATTCGAAGTACTCCACCTCCAGACCGCATTGTAAGTACCCTTTCCTTTTTGAAACACGCCTCGTGTCCTATGTAGCACTCAAGCATAACCGTTTGTTACATCTTTGTAAGGGGAGGTAAAATGCTGAATAACATTAGAGTCTTATGTCACCATTTGTCACCGTAGGAAAGGGTTGGAACTGCTGTGTCTCGTTTGATTTACATGCGTGCTTTGTTAGCGAGGATCCAACCAAGATTTATGGATCTAATATAAACAGCTGCTCTCAAAGCTCTAATTATTAATGCGTCAGGCAAACGTGTGCGCACGCTTGGATGGGCATGCTTGTGTTTGTGCACGTGTGTGTGTGTGTGTGTGTGTTTGCGCATGCATATTTCAGGCAACAGGTTATTAAAGGGAAAATAGGTTGTGTGGGTCAGTGTCTCGGGTTCGGGTAAGATAAGAGTTTTGGTAACTCGGAGAAAAAAAAAAACAAACGGACTGTTGTTCAGCAATAAGACAAGCGGCAGTTGCTGATGATTGGATTGTCTATCCTCGACACGCTTTACAATTGTAGCGCAGTTGTGATGTAACGTAATGTTTAAACTTTCATATCCATCCGTGTATTATCCGAGCCGCTTATCCTCACGAGGGTTGCGGGCGTGCTGGAGCCTACCCCAGGCATCTTCGGGCAGTAGGTGGGGTACACCCTGAACTGATCGCCAGTTTTCTCCAAAATTCCCTTCTCACAAATAATTTGGTTATACTAACAAGACCCATTGTCTGTGTTTGCAGTCTATTTAAACAGAGACATAGAAAATTACTGGCTGTATTTTGTCAAAGCTAAGCCATCCGAAATTGCAAGCAACAGGCAAGGCATTAAATCCGTCCTGAAAAAAAAGGGATATCAATGTGACTGAAAAATTGAAGATCACTGTTATGAGGGGGTCTCGGCATGTTATTCCAGGAAATGAATCAAATGAAAGCCAACGGAATTAAATTGGATCAAGTGATAATGAGCATGGATGATTGTTGATTGTATTTATACATGTTGGGGAAGGATCGGTCAACTCAGTCTTGTAGTCAGTGGATGAGTGAAAGATGTCTAAGTGGGTGTTGAGAGGTGCAAATATATTCTTTGGATCACCGAAGCGAAGTGCCGGAACAATGTGCTCCTTCTTGAAGCCGGGAGGGAGAAAATATAGATGTGCTCTATCTTGATGCCGGGAGCGAGGAAAGGAGGAGAGTGGAAGATTGGAGTGGGGAGGGGACGGTAGGGGAGGGGAGAGGAGCCATTCCTTGAATGACCTGGGGAATCCTGGTCACCACAGAGGTCCCCAATCACCGAACCAACATTCGAAACATCTCGGCAACTGGAGGTGAAGACATGGCACCTCCTTGTGGTTCTCAGGCACGACAGCAATTCCCAGCAGGAGACGACTGGAATGTCTGGTGAACGAACATTTATGGCCAAGCAAATGGCATAGCAATTTATCAAACTGTAGACTTTTTATTCTCGGCCAGAGTGATGGACCAATTGTACCAAGTGACATTCATTTCCACAGAGGCACACTCTTGCTACTGGAAAGCATTTCATGAAACAGACTGAAAAGGTGAGTTGGGATGCAGCCCTTTTCCTGTTGCCTCAATGCCTTTCATGTGTCATTATGTTGAGTCATCGCTCTCCCACATGTCCTTGTGCAATTACGGCACAGGGTTTGAACAATACGAATGTCCACGTTATCTCACACACGTATCCATTCACAGGCTTGGTCCTGGAAAGAGACGGTGTTGGAATCTGGGACGTCTGGTCGCTACACCGTCGAGACGGTCACCACAGAGGAAGGAGTCATCTCCACACTGACCATGAGTAACATTGTGCCCGCCGACTTCCAGACCATTTACAACTGCACTGCGTGGAACAGCTTCGGCTCAGACACTGAGATCATACGCCTGAAGGAACAAGGTGGGAGCCAAGGTCCGACAGGTTCCATCTTCCTCTTCTCCAATTCATGTGGATGTGGTGTCAGACGGTAGAAACAGAATTTGCGTGGTGTCTTGTGTGTGTTGTTGTCCAGAGCAAAGAATTACTGTGTTGCGTAACGTTGTTTTGCACACTTGACTTGTTTGGTTAGGTGAAGACAAATCTGGCACTCCAGTTGTTTTGATAATTTGGTTGGGATTAATTCATCTGAAATATAAATGGTGCACCGACTATGCAACAATGTAACCGCTAAATTCAGCATAGCTGTTTGAACCCCCTAAATTGGATCTTTGAATGCTTTTTAGAACACAATTTCAAAGTGCTTCGTCTCAGCTGAATACAACAAATTAGTCACAATTAGCTCATCCAGGCTAGCAAGAATATCCTGTCCGATTTTTACAGGGCAACAGTGGATCCTGTATTTCATACGCAACCGTGCCAGCGGAGTGACCCAAGACCAAATGGCTGCATAATTTAGCTGTGCTAAAGCTTGACAGGTTTGGGTCTGTCGAAACAAAATTTAGCATTAAACGTGTTGTTTTAAAAGGCCTTCATGACATCACAGCTAGTTTGGAGCCATTCATTTTACCCGCATTAAGTACTATAGTAAACATAGCAAAAACACTGGAGCAATCTGCGATGAAGGAACGTTGGTGTTTTGCTCAAGGTCGCCTGTGCTCTTACAGTTTATGCTCATCAAGGGAACCGGTGCTTCGTTCACGTGCCACAATTCTAACCACCCTTCTACAGCTGTCTCAGTAATCATGGCGGGGGGGGTTGTACAACATCCCACTGAGACATTAAATATTTCCTTTCTTTCTTTCTTTCTTGGTTAAGAGAGCTTTTTAAAAATGAAAATCACCTCTCCCTGTTGACCTTTTCCACTTTACCACCGAGAAGGTTGTTTAGTCTTCCCACTTATCGCAAATGATAAATTATACGCTGCTTATGTGCTAGTGACATTGACCAATGGAGACATTAAGCAGCCTTTAATGGTGTAGGAAGAGCACTTGGTTGTTTGGCGTCAGTTTAAAATTGCAGGGAGGTCATAAATGTGGGAAACTCCGGCCCTCATTAAAGTGTTTGATGAGGACCTTTAATGCTGGAGATGTTTGCCCGCAGGTTTGAGATCTTGCTCGTCCTCCTGTGTGCTACTCGTCTGTGCAGACACACATAAGGACCGCTTTGGTTAAATCAATACACACTGGCACACAAGAGCCTTCTGGGAAATTAGTTTGTAATAAACAGTACAAGGGACAATACAAACAACGTCCCAAATCTTTGGAAGTTTACCACCACACAGAGAATAATTGTAATGATGGGACATTTCCGGGACTTGTCATTAATATTCAAGCAAGAATCCTATTCATCTTGGCACTGAAGCTCAAGATGGTGACAGTTAAAGTATGGAAATGAAGGCGGGATGCTGGAGGCCTGTTGTATGTGTGTGTGTGTGTGTGTGTGTGTGTGTGTGTGTGTGTGTGTGTGTGTGTGTGTGTGTGTAGCATAATGTTAAAAAACAGTGTTCATAAAACAAAAAATAAATTAAAAATTACAATCTTGGCATTCCAAGTCGTAAAATTTGGAATCCAGTTCAAACCAATCCTCATATTGTGCCAGCATGTTGTTCAACAAAGGCTTACTTTTGAAGGGCTTATGTGACTACCTTTTTTGTATTTGAATCCCATCTGCACTGTTGTGAAGAACTACCCACTCCCCGCTACCTACTCTGTTGCTCACTTGTTCTTATTTATTGTTTCAAAAGGACATTCGTGGTTATTTTCATTTCACACTGAGTGGCAATTAATAACAGTTCACTTTTTTTCCAAGAGTATGATGATTTGGATATTCACAACCACATTTTGACTTCAACCGCCGCGTGCACAGTCAATTGCGCTTTTATGAGGGATGTTTTTTTGAAAGCCGTTCGGCACATTGAACTGTAAAAGGTTATGTTTTTGCAATGGGAGATATTTGTACACAGAGGTGCCGGATTCAATTCCAGCTCCGGCCTCCCTGTGTGGAGTTTGCATGTTCTCCCCGTGCCTGCGTGGGTTTTCTCCGGGTACTCCGGTTTCCTCCCACATTCCAAAAACATGCATGGCAGGCTGATTGAACACTCCAAATTGTCCCTAGATGTGAGTGTGGCGTGGATGGTTGTTCGTCTGTGTGTGCCCTGCGATTGGCTGGCAACCGGTTCAGGGTGTCCCCCGCCTTCGGATCGGAAAATGGATGGATATATGTACAGCTCGCGTGGCTTGCCCGCATGTGTTCCACAAGGCTTTGTTGCAATGATTGATGAAATCTGTTCTAAAATGTAGAAAATGTTCGTGGTGTCTTCCTCTCCATACATTCTCTTCTGTGCGTTGTTCTTTGTAGAATCCCTCCCCGTGGCGGTGATCATCGGCATCGCCGTGGGAGCTTTTGTGGCCCTCATCGTCGTCATGGGCACCATCGGAGCATTCTGTTGTGCCCGCTCCCAGAGAAGTAAGTCGACTCGCCATCATCACGCCCACGCAAACGTGCATGCCAAAGTGTCACGAGGTCGAAGCGACACACTTAAAATGTCCATTTCATCTCAGGGACCTTGTTTTTTCCACGAAATCAAACAAAGGCTGCTTTTGAAACAAAGATACACGCGTGACAGGAGCAAAACCGTCACAGATGACGAGATCCCTTCTTGATATGGACATCTTGTTTGTGCTGCAAAGATTATGAGCCAGATTGCGCTAAGGACTCATTTCACGCAAACTCAGTCTGGCTGCGTCACATTCGAGGCTATTTGCATCAGGCGCTATGTTCACTTCCACCTACCCGTGTACCAAGTGACTCAGGTTTTGAGACAGTCGGCCACTGTCTCTTTCCAAGAAGCGAACAAACTGTGCTACTGGTCCCTTCAGCATGTCTATTGTCTGTATACTACAGAGGAAGCGCACCTGGTTATGCCCTCACTGCCCGTCTCCATCTGTGCTCACCAGAGAGAACTTGCAAGCAAAATTAAAACAGAAAGTAAGAATTTATCTGACAGTTATCATCAGCTTTGTCCCAAACACAATGAGCCACCGTGGAAGGTTGTGCGAGATTGCATATGTATGCGGGACGAGATAATCTTGTCTTGGCAGGAAACAAGTGATTAATAATTGTTGGGTATTGTTCTTTTTTTTTGGGGGGGGGGCTATTACAAACCCAGGGATGTCACTAAAATATTGCAAACCGCACTAGGGGGGAATTAGAATGTCAACCAATACAAAATGGTGTTTATGCAAGCTTATTGAGATAAATGTGCCATCTGTTTTCTGACAGATCTGAAAGGAGTCGTGTCTGCGAAAAACGACATCCGGGTGGAGATTGTACACAAGGACCACAACGCCGCGAGAGAAAACGAAGAGCACGCCTCCATGAAACAACTGATGGTGAGTGTGAGTGTCACCATGTACTACTTTCCTTCCAATCCTGACTTCGTTGTCATCAATGGAATCCAAACAAAATGAGGTTTTATCGCTTTGCGTGGTCTTTCCAAGCTTAACATTAGCATAATGAATGCACTGTAACAGGCAAAGCTGTGGAATTCATTATTTTATGAGTAAGGACATAACAAAAAAAAAAAACATCTTGTCAAGGCTCTGGGCTAAAATTTATCGATATGATGTTACAGGCAATACTGTTTGCAGTGTTTATTCTGACTGACTAATCCTACAGTGGGTGTACTTGTATAGCTACATGCCTGCAAGACAGAAAGACGCTTTTGGAGCCATACCAGGACGAAGGTTTTTGTGCATGTTGCTCTAGGCTAGGGGTATTTGTAGGAAAGAGGGCTCACACAAAAAGAAAAAAAAAAACAAAGAGATAAGCCAAATTACAAAATTGCACTTTTGTCAAGAGAAAACTTTTCCAAGTACAAATTGTTAATGTTACCTGCCAGCACCGAGTGAAGGTGTTGGGCTCATACTAAAAAAGAACAAGCGCTAAAATTCTGACTCTTCCGTCTCTTGTACTTTGAACGGAAGAGTTTTCGCAGGCACTCAAACCGCTTGATTTTCATGCAGGTGGAACGTGGCGAGTTCCAGCAGGAGTCTGCTCTGAAGCAGCTGGAGGTTCTGCAAGAGGAAGAGAAAGAGTATCAGCACATTAAGGTACATCTCTTGATCAATGACAGCATGAAGGCACCGAAAGAAGAAATGCTTTCATGTCAAACCTACTTTATATGTGATTTTTTTTTTCTTCTTATATGTGTATAAATTTCTTTTCGTGATTGGTCCTGCGGCAGAATGTGTCCTGCAGGTCTAGTTTTAATAATCATATGGTGGTTCAATATATTTGCTCCTGACTGGCCCTTAATTTGATAAAGAGGATTCATTTTTTTAAGATATATTGACATGGATTTGGTTGGATTACTTCCCAAAGCATCGTGGCAGTTGTGGGTATTGATTAACCTGATGTTACTCTTTAACTAGCATTCTTCTGCTTTGAAATTATATTTCATATCCCACCCACATTGAA